CGTGTTGTCAAGGCAACAACACAGAACCAAGAGGCCTAGCCATTTGTGAAGACACTTTACAGCCTGCTGCAGCACAACTGCTTTGCAAAGCTTATCTCTTTGAGTTTGCAGCAGCTACACCTGAACTTTGAGCTGAGCCATAATGCCACTTAGACACATAAACCGCAGTGGGGAAACACTATTCTCAATTAATGAGTTATTTTAAATTGATTTTTTTTCCCCCATTTTTCTGGAAGCTACTTTTGCTGGAAAAGTTGTCAGAGTTGTACATGTGAAACAAGGGCTGCATGGCCCATTTCGCTCATTCCGTTGCCTGTAACATATTGATCTGAGGATTTTTTTCTTGCCGTTTCACGAAAGATACCAGGGAAACAACTCGGAAAGATAGCACTGCAAGACAGTTTGTTCCAGACCCTAACAACTATTTGTGTTAAGATGTTTGTTTTAGCCCTCCAAGCCCACATTTTCTACTTTGATAACTTTAGTAAGCAATTTCTTCAAACTAGACAAAACAAATATGGCAGAAGAAGAAATATTTTAAAATACATCACATCCAAATCCTCAAGGTCTTTTTCCCCCAATTTTAACCAAGTTAAAAAAGAAACATACATATGCAACAAGAGCATTTCAGGTAAAAAAGACAATGCCAAAAGCATTCCTAGCAGGTTAGTGAAAATGTCAGAACTCACTGCTTTCTGACATGCAGATGAGTGGATGTCATTTAAGTTTTGCCATTTGCTTATCTTTGCAGTTTTATAAATGTAATTGAAATGCTCCGACAGAATCTTTTTTTTTCCCCAGCAGCGATGCCTGCAGCTGTAAAACCACACATACCCACATGAAGGAGCCTGATCAGGTTTGTTCTAAGTGTCCGGTTAAAATTTAATCAGGCCAGGAATGAAAACTGCTGAATTGGTGAACCTAATTACACTAAGTGATTGCACCACTAGTGTCCATCTATGTCCAGATCAGAACACATAAAATAAAGCTCATCACTTGCCAGAAAGGCTCGGACATCAACGAGCATTATTAATAAGGATGCATGTCGATTATTTGACTACGCTAATTGATTTCTTGGTTTCTGCATTTGCTGGGAGGGGGTTATAAAGGGACTAACTGGACAAAGCTTTAATTTTGATTTCTGAGTTTGGGTATTCGTCATCAAGAAATTGTGTGATATCATGAAAACCACCATGCAAGCTAAAAAGCAAAGTATTTGATCAGGGACTCTTCTCGCTGTGTTCAGGAGTCCACATAGTCTGTCACATCTTGGTTCTATAACTGTGGAGGTCACAGCCTTAGTCCAGCCCTACCCCAGGAATAAGCAAATAATTGCTCCATGCTGTACTAATAACTGCTGCCAAAATCATAAAGCTTCTTTCTTAATTTAGTCAGAATTTGTGCTTCATACCAGGCTTGAGGCACAAGGGATACACTGGGCAGATGAAATTATGGAAAGTATGAGCGGACTATTGAAGGAAGTAATGAATCAAACTGTCATCTCAATCCAAAACTATTCAGTCCACCAAAAATAGTACCTACCAGCTTTATCAGGATGCAGTGTTCGTATTCTGCTAAAACTATAGCATAAGGTTAATCAAGCATTTTCTTCCGGAAAAGGGCATCTTTTGCATCAATTAATGCTTATTCAATGTCACAGAACTCTAAACCTGTCAAATTAGACAACATATTTGCTCAATAACTGAAAAAAAAAGCTAACAGCTCCCTGAGCAAAGGATTCAGTCTGTATTATAATCTAATTAAATGTACAGAAGACCTAGTGTCAAAAATGTTCTCTGTCCTTTTTATTTATGCCTTATTTTAAGATATGGGGGCTCCACATTGATTCAGGCTGTTAAATAATATGAAATGTATCCTAAAGCCAAACCTTCAGGACAGTGCAAAGCCCCACACAGCATCTCTCCGGAGAGATACACTGGGGTGTATGAATCTAGCCAAGCACTGCACATACAGGTAAACCTCAACATGCCACATAACCTGGATTTCTGCAGCTTACTGAATACCTGCTTGACTTCACAGTATGAACTCTGACAGCTTGGCTTCACTATCCCCATCCCTGGAAAGCAATGTGAAAGGAGATGCCCCGTCTGTCAACGACAGTCTTCGCCTCATCCAGGGATCCACTCAGCAAAGCACCACTTCCTTGCATAGCATAATAATACATCAGCACCTATGGACACAGATGCTTAAACAATTTCAACGTGTACTAGGAGCTCTGAGAAACTGCACTGCTCCATAATGAGCCAAGACAGGGGTGACCAAGCTCTTAAAGCTCCCAAGGCTTAATTGGTGGGAATTACAGACTTTCTTTCTTCTAACATTCTCAGAATAACATGCACTTTCACTTCCTAGGACATAAAACCTATATAAAATGCAAAAGAGAAAACCAATCCAGGGCATTTACACTACTGTGATTACTAAAGCCCATGTGCCACTTGTAGCAAAGCCAAAACCAGTACAGGCTGGAAACTAACTGCCTTGATTCAGATGGAGGGCTGGTTCCCACAGGGCAACCAATAAGCACAAGATCTCCCATCTGCCTCTGATTGGTCTAAAAATGACAAGTGCATGAAACATGAAATGATTCCCATTCTCCTAGGTAATGTTGTTTGTTAGTAATCAAAATACAGAACTGTGTATGCAAGTTTCTGCTGCTACTGCCATTATGCATCATATCTGAGTACAGAAGAAGCTGTGGGGTGGCTGTGATTGTGGCTTTTGAGATTTAGTTGAGCTGGCAAGGGCTGACATCCACAGAGTTGCACTGCACAGCCATACGGTTCTACAGCATTCATGAAGGATTAAACAGGGAATACAGCAACAGATTCTCATACGGGCTGTGATAAAGGCAATCCTAAAATACCCAAGTGCAAAATTCTCCATCAATAACCCCACTATAGAGCAGATAAGGTGCAGAATAGAGAAACTGGTAATCAATTGAATTCAGAGAGAAATTAAGGATGGCAAATTGTGCAACTCCAGAGACATTAACCAGGTCACACTCGGGTCTTATGAGCAGTGCCATGTGATATTGTAATGCCTATTTACTGTAGTCAGGACCTTGAGTTAATATCTCTTCTGAAGGAAGGCCCTGCCTATAGCACTAGGAGCTGTCCAAACCAATGTCCCAGCATGGTGACATTTTGTTCCAGTGGGAAGAGAGCAAATTACTGATCCATCTGTACAACAGCAAACCTGGCTTTCCTTAGAGTTCACCCAGTCCAGTAGTAACCTGGTTCTAACTTGATTAGCTTCTGAGATCTGTTGTCTCACTGCCACTGACGTCTTCATTGTACAAGTCGTTTCCCTTTAGCAATTTACTTCTTCATTAAAATAGTTTTTTTCCAGATTCGTTGATTATGGATACACCACCTTAACTTCATAGCTTGAAGATAAAAATAGGCTAGTTAGATTAGGCTGGTGCACGCAAGTGACTCAGTTCAGGTAGGGGCTCTTCAGAACAGCCCTTGCCACTGTTAAATGGCACAAGTACTGCATTTTTCCGCATCAATGATATGAAGAATGATTGATGTCAAATCAAATAGTTTGCACAAATACAAGGGGACTCTTAGCAAATGGTCATGCAGGGTGAATATTTCTGAAAATAAGTTCCTGTGAATTGCCAAACCTGCAATTCAGATCCACAAACCCGCTGGCATTAGCAAAATATTCCCATTAGAAAAACTGTACAAATAACACTGGAACAAAATCATTTAACACGGGTAGAAATCTAAAAATCATTCCCTTTTTCTACACAACTCACTATATATTTCAATGTGAACACCCAAATCCTGACAGAGTATCTCAAACCATTTCATAGCATGAAATCATTCATTAAAGACTAAGTCTAAACTTAAAACACTGAATAATTGCTTATTTTTAACCAAATTAAATGTACTGCTCTTCACACAATATCATAAATAAAACATTAAACTTGAAACTTTTAGTGTCATGACAACTCATGTGCACATACTTTATCTTCGACACTTATGGTCCATGTTAAGCAAACAACAATAAATACAGACTAGGGGAAAGGATGTTATGGATTTCTATGATGAAATTAAAAGGAAAGTAATATAATTAAAAAAACAAGAAACCTCAGTACCCCAATAGTGCCTAATCTCAGTTCTTACAAAATAATGATAGAGGAACCACTCAAGTGCTTGATACACCAGCACACCTGTGGGATCCGTTTGTGAATGACTGCCAGCTTGTACCTTCAAAGCACTCGCTGAACTTGACAGATAAAGGGATGCAAAATGGATAAGTATATCCAGGAATTTTACTACAGGAAAATACACTACAGCACCTCCCTCTCCATTTCTTCCTCTGTGCTTTAAAAATAGCAGGCCACTCTCTCTTCGGAAACGGATAAACGAATAACGATCTAGTCCCGCAGCTAAACCAACAACCTCCAAACCTACGAGGAGGTCCCTAAGAAGGCAAATGTGCGCGCAACCTTGTCAACTCTCCCCGTCACCGGTTCAACAATCCGATGCTTCTGCCACCACCTATACAGGGGCACAGGAACTGCCTGCGAAGAGGCTCGGCACGACGGCCACAACCTGCGGAATGTGAAGCGTCTTTACTCAGAACGGCAGTGCAGTTGTTTTCTGGAAAACCCAAGGCACGTCCGAACTTACTTTTTCGGGGTGGGCTGGGTTGTGACTTAATGGCAGCTGAATTATGAATTATGGCAGCTAACAGAAGGAAAATGCAATCGGGCGATGCCACGGCACGATGATTAAGGGATTAAGGAAGAAGGGTAACAGTTAGCTGGGTCTCTGGACGCACCGTGCAGTGCAGATCGCTCATGCCATGATGCGCGCACGGTAACGCCTGGGGTGTTGTACACCGTGTGTGGCCCAGAGGCGGCTGGCGGTTGGCACAGGGTCGGTGCAGGAATATGATGAATAATGCCAACGGCCTAGCGGGGACAGATCACCCCCCGCCCCTTCTCCCGGCTCAATCCCCCTCACCTCCTCGGCGTGCTTCCTCAGCGCCTTCTCCCTCTCGTACTGAGTGATCAGCTGCTCGTTGTCCTCCTTCAGCAGCTCCAGCTCCACTTCGTGCTCCTGATTCTCGGCGAAGACGGAGTCCAGGTTCTCCAGCACGGCCACCACCAGCGGCATCAGCTCCTTCACCACGTCCTCGTCGTACTTGCCGATGAGCCTCTCGAACTCGCGGTAGATGGAGCTGGCCAGGCCCGACACCCGCTCCGACATCATTGCCGCCGTCCCCGGGTCGTCCTGGTATACAACTCCGTCCTCTAACTCCATTTTCTTCTCTCTCTCTTTCCGATGCGGTGCAGCCCTCCACCTCTTGCTATCTTGTACGAATTTATCTGCTCCTCAACGTTGTGTAGATGCCGGACTTCTTTAAAAAAAAATTAAAAAATAATAAAAAAATAAAAGAATCCGGGCAAGTTGCAGTCCCTCCCTTTAAGGGAGCGATGTCTTGTGTTTTATTTGGCTGCCGCTCCTCCAGCTCCCTGTGCAGCTGAGTTGTTGACCAGACCGTCACGTGATGACGTCACATTCTAAAACCGGGGCTGGGATTTGCGAGTGGAAGGGCTGGAATATTGCGCTGCAATTTTCGTTTCTTTAAAGATTACGCCTGGGTGTCTTTAATTAATTAGTAGTTTCATTTTGCACGAGTCGTGAAATTAATATTTTTGAAATATTCAAACAGAACAGAGTGTATCGAATTATCTTTTTGTGCGTTCACTTCTTCATTGTCTTCCAAGTACTGTATTCGTTTTTATTTATTCAAATGCACTGAACCATTCGACTTGTTCGTTTTTAACTAGGTAAGTCTTGCATTATGTGTTTTAAGACAAACATAAGTAAAACTCAAAAGAAATAGCCAATTTAGAACCCACTGGAGGAACTAATTAAACTAGTAAAGAACTTATCGAATGTCTGCACTTCTGATTAGAATATATCCCTCAGATGAATGGAGGTGGTATATTATCGAAAGCAGAAAAAAAGGAAGCAGAAAAAGCAGAAAGTGAGGAAGTCTGTTGGATTATTAAATATTAGAACAAGGTGGAATCTGACGCCAAAATGTTTAATTTAGTTCAGGTTTGTGAATCTGTATATGGTGCTACACATGCGGTTAGTGCTTGTTTTTGAATTGTTGAAAGTTGGTATGTCATGCCCAACGAACATGTGCAATATCATATTTAATACATTGCATTTTAAAAAGAAATATTTTTATAGAGTGCCGTCTACCTGGCACATAAGACGTTTAACAACTCACCTGCTATAGGTAAAGCTGAGTCTGATTTGATGTTACAAAACAGCGCCCTCTGCTGGGTCTCAAATGTTGCTGCTCGTTTAACCAGCTCATACTTGTTCCTTGCGACGTTGGTATTACCACGACCAAAACAAAATTATATAAAAAACAGACATTTTAATTTACCATGGTTCTGTTTTAATATGTCAAACTATCCCAATAGCAAGCTCTTGAAATATGTTTTCCTGACACTCCTGCTGTTTTACAAAGTGCTGAAAAGACACAGCTCTCAGTCTTCAATTAAAACGCGCACACAGAAGTGGTTTACACAGAGGTGTCCCTATCAAAGCAGAAGTTAATCGACCTCTAGTTGGACCGAACGATAAAGCAATCTGTTGGCTTAGAAAGGTACGTTTTTGTGCGCCGCAAAATGTCGAAAGTTCCGAGCTTAATTATTGTTCTTGTTACTGATAACGTATGTATTTAATGGTGCAGTAGCAGCTGTATTTCTACTTTCACGGTTGAAGTATATGTAGTATGTTATAAGAGTTCGTGTTGTATTGGAAGTTGCAAGGTAAAAAAGCTGGTTGAAATAAATGTGTGCACATTTAAAACCAATGTTCCCATGTCAGAATTCCTCTTTGGAAAATCTGTTGCCCTCTTTGGTAAGCGGGACTTAACAGTAAAATGGGGTGAATGGTATTGTAAATTCGTGATCGACTCAGGATGAGAGAACTAAAGAAATGTATGTATCTTGAAAAACAGTGTTACGATTTCAAAATGTACAACACACACATAACTCGTACGTTGCGTGTGAATAAATCAGGTCATTTTAGTTTTGGGAGCGAACCGTAAACATTAGGTTTTCAAATGTTTAACGCAAAAGCTATGTACCACACATACGGGATACAGCGTATACGGCGTGCATGTGTAAATTCACTGCCTCCATCACAAGGTCTCTGCTCTCTTAAAACTGTGTCGGAGTCTTCTCTTCTTTCGATCGCTCCTCATGTACCGAGCAGGTGCGCCCCAGATGTTGTACGATTTCTTTTAGCTGGGTCAATTCGTAACATCAGTAGGCTTTTGTTCAGTGCAAGTGAAAAAACTGCCTGAGGTCTATCTAGCTTCATTCGTTTGGATACAATAGCTCTTTGAAGGATGTCAAATAAAAAACAGAAGTGTCATAATTCCGTTCAACTCGTGATATGTCTTTGGGTGCCTGCAGAACAGGTGCGCTCCATTGAAGCAACGATAACAGACTCCCCCCCTCAGGTAGTACGGTGGCCTCCAGGGGCCAAAATCCTCCGTGTAAGGACTGTGTCGATTACCATTTCCTCGTTCCGACCAATGGCAACCAGGGGGTTTACCCTGCGCCTGCGCTCTGCAGATATGATAATTTTGTTGATATTCAGCTGGAGTTCAATATTTTGGGTTTTAGTTTGATTTTCTGTTCTATTTCTCCTTCTCGGGAATTTTACAACTGCACACACAAAACAAAACGGCATTGCATGAGGGGCTGATGGAAAACGCCAGGGATTTGGTGAGTTGAGCGGGGAGATCGAGCGTGGTGCTTTGGAGTGCAACAAGCCTGTTTTTCTCTTCCTTTGTTGTGATTGTCAGCCTGCAGCAGAAACAGCAGTAGAAAAAAGGGGCCTCCAGATTCGCCTAGGTAAAACAATCAGGTTTCCAAAGGTTCGGCTGACGGATTGCCGGGGCTTTAACGATTGTGAAGCACTCGAGAATTAGCTGAAACACATTGCAGAGACGCTAGTTTGCAGGACGAAGTGGAAAAGGCGTGCAGGCCCGTCACGACTGCAGTGGTAGTAGCATTCAAAGCACACACACAGCTAATGCTTCCTTGTTTTTTTGAAATACTTGGTACGTAGACTTCCATGTCATTCGTGTATGTAACGGGTAAATCCTACAAAATACGTGTTTTTCTGATATTACAGATAAAAACCCCAGCGAACACACCTTGTTACTAGGTGTTAGAGTTCCGAAGAAATAAATGCTGAGAAATAGCTGCTTATTGCTCTGTAGACCAGCGTTGCGGGTTACCATTCTGCTGTTACCGTGTCACACAGCAGTTTCGCTCTGCCTTGAGATTTTTAAGCATTTCTGCCGGAGTTCAAAATCGTAGCCATGTTTACAAATTAGAGCCCGGAAATGTTATGATACCAAGTTTTAAATGACTTGTTTAAATATTTGCGAAAACTCGGTATATCTTTTTATTGTCACCTTTAACTCGTAGTGTACTGCAGTTGGAGTAGTTAAGCTTATTGAAATACTTACAACTGTCGTTTGCGGCCGTAGAATGTATTGCATCCTGTGAAATGCATATGAAATCGAATAGCGATCATTGAAATTTCATTTCCATAAATATTTGTTTTTCTATGTGTAAGGTGCTCACTGACCAGTAATACATATCCTATACAAAGATTTTCTAGGTGTATTTCGGGTGTAGTAAGTTTCCACTACCATTGAAAGTTGGAAATATTGGATGGTAATAAGTGGAAGAAATAATTGTAAAAATGTTTGCAAGGTTTTTTTTAAGTTCTGTTCTTATTATCTTGGGTCTTTGAGTAGCATTTATTGGAACAGCGAGATTCTGTTTTGGGAGTTCATCATATTTATCAAATAAGTCTCTTCTGTGCTTAGAATACTGTTCAAAGCTGCCACCCATTATACCATTAAAATAAACTTTCTTATATGCAGGCTAAGAAACATCTTTTAAATATTGATTAAGTTGTCACAGTAGTAAGCTCCAGCAGATAGTGGATTTTGCACTGTACAGCTAAACTGAATACTGACACAACATGTTCTCCTTTCCAAAATACGAGGTGTGCCAAATAAAATGTAATGTTAAGAGCAAAGGGATCAATTCAGGAAAAAGAAACATGCTCTAGGCATGCCCCATTGCAGATTCTGAACTGCTACTCATGAGAGGGACCTGGATGTCTAGATTCTTCTATGTTCTCATCAAGACACCAAAATGCCAAGGTACTGTATGTAGCAAAACCTGAGAAATTTAAAACAAGGGAAGCTGGACAATACGCTAGTGTGGACTAATTAAAAATAAAAATCTATATAATTCAACTTTGGTTACAGTGTAATGACATTACATGTGGTTTCATTACTCATAATTTTTTTCTAAAGTTATTTCCTTTTTAACATATTTTAATAGACAGGTTAAAGGAACATAGTCTGTTTAGTTTAGATAAAGTAGGCTTGATCCTAATATTAATAATAATTACTTACATTTATATAGCGCTTTTCTGGACACTCCAGTAAAAGCACCTTACAGGTAATGGGGACTCCCCTCCACCACCTCCAATGTGCAGCACCCACCTGGATGATAATATCATCCAATATATCTGCCTCTGAGGTTTTTATATTGGGTCAACTTATAGGACTACTTACGACTCTGTAATGAAAATAAATTATTATGACTGTAATAAAACATAGATCACATTTAGAAACTAAAGGAGCAATCATTTAGATTGGGGAGTAGAAAACATGTCTTTACACAAAGAGCTGTTGGGGCCTTTAAGAAGCATTCTAGCTAGGCCTGTGTTGAGATCCAGAGTCTGAGAGTCTGAGCTGCTTCAAGAAGCAGCTGAATTTGCAGCTGTTCGCATGTTCTTATACTTTAAAATGCACCATGTGTTAAGTTTTGTTTAAAAGAAACTATAGAAACTTTGGTATTTTGAGAAAGGTGTTTTTGCAATCTGGAATCATGCTCTTAAAATAAAGAAAAATAGGCAGCATACAGTAGCTTTGGTGTAGATTTTTAATCTGAATACACTAAATGCACATTGGTTTTCAGGCTGGTTAATATGCCTGCTGTGTTTCTGATTGTAACCCATAAGGCCAAGGCAATAGGAAATGCCAGGTCTGCAGCCAGCGCTCTTCAATGCCTGTCTTTGTTCACCCAGACTGAACACACTCCTCGGTCAGACAGGAAGAGGCGGGACTCCTTCGGGATGTATGATGGGTATGACAGCTGCAGTGAGGACACCAGCAGCAGCTCTAGCTCGGAGGAGAGCGAGGAGGAGGTCGCCTCCATACCTGCCAACCTACCCATCATCAAGAACAATGGGCAGGTGTACACCTACCCAGATGGCAAAGCTGGCATGGGTCAGTCCACAAGTTCACGCTGCCCTCTCACAACACAAGTCTAATTACCCAAATTAAAGGCATAGCACACAGAGTGTTTGGTGTTTATTTTATAGCGCCATACCACCAGCACACAGAGTGTTTGATGTTTGTTTTATAGCGCCATACCACCATTTAAAATGCAGTTAAGTCATTCTGTCTTTACTAGAGGCCAAACTTACTCATTGCTCTTTCAATATTTTTTAGCTTTATTATCTATATTTAAAATATCATAGTTGTGATTATTTTACATTCTTTCATTCTCTGTTCTGTTGAAAAGAACATCTTTCAATAGCTGGTGTAAATAAATGCATAGCTATATACTGTACATATATATCAACTGGTAATCCGTAGACTGAAATGTGAGTTACAAGGGCTCTGGGAAGAGTCATCATCACTAAACAGAACTAGAAAAAGGCAAGTTTAAAGGAAAGTCACATGACAGAGTAAGCTGTGCAGATTTTAACAGTATTTGCTTGTGTTGAATTATATCAGGTGTGTTCTGTTTTTTTTTTTCTGCAGGACATTAATGAGTAAATTGAGAAAAAAATGTTTCCAGCGACAGTCTGGGATCGTGCAGGGATGTTTGCACAATTAAAAGGTTTCTCACTGTTCCCACCACTTGTAAGTGTGATGTAACCCACAATTGCCTGTTCTTTCAGCTACCTGTGAGATGTGTGGAATGGTGGGAGTCAGAGATGCCTTTTATTCCAAAACCAAGCGATTCTGCAGCGTCTCTTGTTCCAGAAGTTATTCCTCTAACTCAAAGAAGGCCAGCATTCTGGCTAGGCTCCAGGTAATGTTCTTTATTTTACACGTGACCCCAAAGAAAGCTGTTTTGGTGCTTGTGTTAGCAAAAAGACCTAGGTTAGAGTCACCAGCCAGAAGAACAGCAGCTGTATTCACTTTTATAAGATTGTAATCTACAAATAATGTACATATTAATGTCTTTATATGTTAATAACATTGAATATTGGATATTTTTTATTTGCAGGGTAAACCACCTACAAAAAAGGCAAAAGTCTTACAAAAACAACCTCTAATGGCCAAGTTAGCAGCATATGCCCAGTACCAGGCAAACCAACAAAACCAAGCTAAATCAAAAACAGGTGAGGGACAGTGAAGTCCTGTAACTGTGACTATTTAACTAGTAAGAGTTTGTATATTCACAGAGTGGTTAGCATTTACTACATTTTACTACATGTGTGAATCTAAGAATAAATGACACCTTCCTTGATGCAGAAATTTGAATTTTGCATTCTGTAATGTACATAGTGTAGGTGCGTGGTATTACTAGATCATTACTCTCTTATTAGTGCTCCCAGAAGTAGCTGAAAGGAAGCACATGGTTGATGAATATAAGCATAGCACACAGAGGGCACTGCCTTTTGGAAAATGAATGCCGTTTAAGCTTGCCATTTCTGAGTGGGACTCTTATAAAAACACAAAAAGATTCAATTTCTTGAAAATGCATTAAAGATATTTAGGGAATTGGGTGCTGGAGTGGATATTAGCACTGTTGGTAATAAGTCACCTGAAGCAGTGATAAACTGAATATATTTTATCTTTCTGTCCTTGTCTTGCCCTTTTCAGTGGTTCCTGTGGAGGGGTTTGATTGGGGTCGTTACATCAGCAGCAATAACTCTGTTGCGGCACCTGTTAGCTGCTTTAAGCACGTAAGTAGAATTAAAACTACTACACTGTTTGTTATTGTGCTTTTACAAATAGGAGTTATGTTTTTTTTCCATATTAATTTTATTTCAGACAAATGCTTCTCTCCTTTCAAAATGGTGAAATGTTCAGAATATTGCAGGTGCAGAGCATTCCATTAATTTACTGCCAAGATTCGGGGATTTAGTGGAATTAAGATTGATGAATGTTTTTTTTATCATCCTATGAAAAGTAGTTTTCCTGTTTTAAATTTGTAAACCAGGTACCAATGGGAAGGTCCTGGGGTGACATCTCGGAAGGAGTAAGAGTAGAAGTTCCTAACACAGATAGCAATCTGCCAGGAAAGGTCTACTGGATCGCGGGAATCGTCAAATTAGCAGGTATAACCAGAACCAGAGCTACTCAGGTAGTGAGAAGAAAAAGGAGAGGCAACTCTTTGTTGAAAACTTCAGAGATAATACTTAATTGTTTCTCATTAAAAAATCTTCTGAATGGTGCAGTTGAAGGCCTTGCAATTTATGATCATCAGGTAGCAAATGATTAATTGTTTAAATTGTGCCATATCATGCAGCATAGTCATTGTTGCAGCAAAGCACATACCTCACCTTACTCATGATATTCATGATACCTTACTCAAGGTATTACACTATAAAAAATACTATAGTATTTTAATATTGAATTTTTCTGGTTAAACATTTTGACCAAACCTACATCTGAGCATAGGGAGTCTTGCCCAGCTTAGTAGCAGCCCTATAAATCTCTGTTAATTGGACCTGTCTGATCTATTCGAAAAGTCTGAGCTTTTCATTATTTTACGTGCAAACTATATTTGTTTTATCTTCCAGTGATGAAACAAACTAAATACCATATAAAAAGGCCTGTCTGCTGTGAAAGTACACATAGGGCTCTGATTATAAATACAGAATCACTTGAATCCCATGAGCTATGCATCAATACTCTCTTCCTACTAAGTATTATAAATGCTTCAGACTCATCTGAAGTACTGCACCTCCATGAGGCAGTGTCCACGGTCCAGTGCCCCCTACAAATCTCCCATCACCACTTGCAACAGTAACCTGGTTTCTTGCAGGCATCTCCCATTGTGATTCTTACTAGGCCCAGCCTTTCTGACCTCCTGAGATTTGATGAGACATCACAGCAAGGTAGTAATGCCCGATCTGTTCTGTGTGTAGGCTTCAAGGCACTGCTGCGGTACGAGGGCTTTGACAACGACTCCAGCCGAGACTTCTGGTGTAACCTCTGTGTTCCCGATGTGCACCCAGTGGGTTGGTGTGCTACCAGTGGCAAGCCCCTCGTACCTCCCAAATGTAAGTGAACTGTGCCAATCCCAAGTGTTTATCAGAAAAATAATTTTCAGCAGCTAATACATAACTTATTTTTTTAAATCTAATTATTTCCAGTATAATTAATCCTCTAGTGTAGACACCCTATCTGTCAGCTTGTATATTATTCTGTGTATGTTAATGTTTGAGTTACTGTATTTTACTTTCTGTTTATCCATCTAGCTGCTTAACTGCCTTTCTGACTATATTCTGCATGTGTAATTTTTATTAAAATAATCATTGCGTTTATGGGCAATTTATATTGAGGGTTTACTTAATGGTGTCTCTGGCAACTGTCCCCCTCTGTTTTTCTGTAGCTATCCAGCATAAATGCACCAACTGGAAAGCATTTCTTGTAAAGAGGCTCACTGGTGCTAAAACGCTTCCCCCGGACTTCTCTGCAAAGGTGCGTATCCCCTCTCTGTCATTTTGCATATTGCTCTCGTGCCTGATAACTCCACCCATCCATTTTCCAAGTCTTTCTCCCTATGTATGGTCTCAGGGGAGATGAAGCCTATCCCGGTAAGCAAGAGGCTCAAGGAGGGGTACACCCTGAATGAGGCACCAGTTCATGTCACCACAGACATACACAAACAGAGACATCTACACACTCACACCAGGTTCAACTTTCCCAGAAGCCAATTAACCTACAGTTTGTGGGAGAAAACACTCCTAGTAATGCTTACCACTATGTTACTGCCCCGCCACCCTGGTAACTCCTGCTCCTCTTAATTTACAAACTGCCCTATACAGGCTGTTATGTGGCTAATGATGTTCATGCTCCGATCAATATTATTTTCTTAATTTCAGGATAATCATAGCCAAAATTCCGCATTCCTTCCCCCATATTTATCTTGCGGTTCAAGAGCAGCTTGGCGAGAGCTGACCACGTTCTGCGCCGTGTTCTCTCCCAGGTCCAGGAGAGCATGCAGTACCCCTTCAAGAAGCTGATGCGCGTGGAAGTGGTGGATAAGACGCACCTGTGTCGGACGCGGGTGGCGATCGTGGACTCCGTGATCGGCGGCCGGCTGCGGCTGGTGTACGAGGAGAGCGAGGATGGCACGGACGATTTCTGGTGCCACATGTACAGCCCCCTCATTCACTGCATCGGCTGGTCTCGAAGCATCGGTCACCGCTTCAAGCGATCAGGTCAGGGGCTCTGCCGCGCTTCCCCAAGCTCTGAACGTGCACTTCACGATGATCCATTACCTGACTGGGTGTACCACAGTAGTCCCTCAGTTTTCAGATACCGGACATTTTTGTGTTGTGGTTTTCCCACACTTTATCTTTTAGTTCCCTGCATCTCTCCATGGTTTTCTCTGCTTCAGGTTTGTGTTGCATCTCTCAGACGGTGAGAGTTGTGGTAACTTGCTTGACAACAGTATGAGCATGTAAATAAGTAGACCAGGACTGCTGTTTGAAAATGGGGGCACAACAAATAAGAGATAAGATCACTTTATTAGCCATGTGCAATTTCTTGTATTAGGAATTTGTCTTTTCGCATAACCCCAGCTTGCTCTCCACGAGACACACAGGCACACAGACGGGGAGAGAGAACCTTGGGGTCAGAGCACAGGGTCAGCCATTTATACGGCGCCCCTGGTGGAGGTGGGCTTAAGAGCCTTGCTCAGGGACCCAATGGAGTAGGAGTCCTCTGTCGGCCGCAGGAGAAGAATTGTTGTGGCAGTTACTGCAGAAGAAAAAGAGTATTAATGCTTGTCTGGGTAGTTTGATGTCTCCCGACGTGTAATAAGGTGCAGATGTTTTGTAAACCATCTTTTTAAGGAAGGTAAACTTTTAGAAATGTAAACTTGTGCATTTTAGAAAAAAAACAATAGCATATTCTTCCAAAACACAAAAAGTAGCATATGGAGCCAAACTACCAAAAAAGTGTTTAAATAATTAATGCTCTTGTTCTTTTCTCAGATATTGCAAAGAAAATAGAAGGTGTGGCTGACGCCGCGGCACACTTGTTTATGAAGGTGAGTTGTTGTAGGACTGTGAAGGATAATGAAGAGGAGCTCTCGCCTCATTAACTGCAGGCAGACATGCATAAGCATATAATCTTGCTATAGCGCTAGTGAGAAGACTCATTCATGTTTGCCTGTTCAAATGTGTTCAAATGCCTTTAATGGTGTAAATATTTTAGGCCGTCCAATTACAGGGAAATTTTGCTTAAAATTTAAGCTAACTCCTTAGAACATACAAAAGGATACAACACGAGAAGGTCGGTCATCCCATCTAGCTCATTAGGTACTTAGTAGTTAGTTGATCTAAGGATCTCATCCAGCTGTTTATTGAAAGAAACCAGGGTGTCGGCTTCAACAACATAACTGGGAAGTTTATTCCATACTCCTAAACCCTTAGGGCAAAGACGTGCCTTCTGTTTTCAGTTTGAATAGTTCCACATAATAGTTCACTGTTATTTAAAGTGTGATATAAGCATTTTTAAGGGGGTGCTTGTATTTTGGCTGGTGTTTTTGTCTACAGGCAAGAGCATATCTAAAACACAGGGAAGCAATACCATTTACAATATTTGTATTTTGATCAGTTAGGTAATATTGAAATTCACCTTTCTTCCAGTGAAAGACAAAATTCCCATCGGGTGGAAAAACATTTCTGTATATACAATTTCTGTAAATAAGATGGTTTTATTTTTTGGTTTTAATTGTTTAACTTTAACTCTATCTCCGAGCTTCAATCTGATGTAAATATCCCCATTCTGAAGTAATTAAAACATCATTGTTTTAAATAATGCTGTGTTTTCACTGTGGCTCTCCTCCTCCTCCTGTGTCTGGCAGGTGAAAGATGTTGACCAGAGTGGGGAATGGTTCAAAGATGGGATGAAGCTGGAAGCGATTGACCCTTTAAATCTTTCTGCAATATGTGTAGCTACTGTAAGGAAGGTAATGAGCTCTTTAGCTTCCCATAATGTAAATGTTATGTTGAATAAAAAGGGGAATGTGGTATATGAAACTATACATCACCTGTAGTTGTACAATTGCAACAATAACTGCACTGTTACAATAATCATCTTTTAATAACACTGGTCTTTCTGTTGTTTCTTTTAAAGATGTGCATACTATGTGCAGCTCTGAATAATCATACTGTAGTACAGAGCTGTAAAACCAGAACTTTGTTAAAAGTAGATAACGGGAATAATAAAATAAACTAGCATCAATTTAGATGTAGTAAAAAAGCACCAGAACCGATAGTAAAAAAGTATTGCTTATTAATGTTAATATGAACTGTCCAAAGGTGTTTTAGATTGTCATAATTAGCCAAGATATTCCATTTGTTTGCATTGGTTTAATACATCAGTGACTCCAGTGCTGGTGTTGCTATTTAATCACTGGGTGCAGATGAATGTGCAACAGAACAGTTGGCAGTGACCAAGTCCAGTCCTGCAGATCCACAGTTTTGCAGGTTTTCCAGTTTCAGCAGTTCCTCACACATTAAAATCTGAAGGAAAATAGAACTAACCCATCAAGTAATTATTTCAATAAAGAAACCAAGAGCATGGAGGAAATGAAAAATGGAAACCCCCACTGACACATAGCTACTGTATCTGCTCTCTCACTCCAGCAGCGCCAAACCAGAACTTTGTACCTAGAAATATTTGTATTAGTAGTTTTCCTTTCCACATCTTTAACAACTGAGACAAGGATGATGCTACTCCTGATAGTTAAAAAGTGGAATTAAACATTGGTCTAGGTTGTGATCAGATTACAAGAATGTTTTGAAGTTTACAAATTGTTGGCATGAAATACGTAGGATTTAATGCCATCACACAACTAGTTGCTCAGTAGCTGCAGACTTTGGAAAATGCTTAGAAATGTTATACTTATATATAGAAATCGTTTTTTTTCTCAGGTGGATTTATTCACAATAGTTGTTGTGGATTGAAGCCATGGAAGGGCTATTGTAGGAGAGATGTGTGCAAATGCACGGTTCTCCCACCAGGTGACACTCTTGTCCTCTTTTATATGGAAAGCCAGGAATTGTCGTACTCTTTGTTTGCTGCAGTCATTCTTTATGAAGAAAACAAGCAAGGGACTATTAAGTGAGGGAAGAGCTGTTGTAGTATTAATTAAAATGAGGCACAGAGTTATTGTGTGGGACAGTTCTTTACAAAGTATGAATTGTCAAAGGAAAAAGTCTATTTTAACTTTTTGTATGTTCAGTGAGTATATTGCATGAAATAGCAGTTAGTGCAGCCTCTTCATCACTCTTGTTTTCTGAGTTGGGCTCCAAATAAGGCACCTGCTGTATGTATGTTTCCCTGTGTCCATATGGCTTCCTACATTCCACAGACATACTGGCAAGGTGAACGGGCATCCTCAGCAGATTGTCATCCTGCCCAGGGTGTAGTTCCAAAGAGCAGCAAACTCATCTTTTTTTATTCTAAGCTCATACGTGTGATTTTGCCAACATTTCTTCCTCTGCCAAATGCCTTCCAGGATAAATAGGGGTTGCAGGATACAGAATTGTTTTGTACTTTGAGCTGTACTGTACTAATAAAGTTGAGTAAACTAGCCGTGAGCCAGCATATTTTGTGCATTTTTTTCAACATTATTAATTTTTTTTTTCTAATTTTCCACTGCTTTCTATTTAAGACTGAACTAGTTTAACATCTAGGATGATGTGGTTATCCCTGTACAGCATATTATACAATAGACTTATAGGTCTTTTGAGTAATGTTTTTTTTTTGTACGAGGCACCAATAGTTTGTCAACCTTTTAATGACTAAAAAGGTTTACTGAGCTCTTTGACTCAGTCCAGCTTCACAAATATGTGACTACTGTTCTGTCTTCCTTTCAATTACTGCTGTTTTGTAGGTCTTGGCAGACGGTTACCTCATGATAGGAATTGATGGCTCGGAGGCTGCGGACGGCTCAGACTGGTTCTGCTATCATTCCACCTCCCCTTCCATATTCCCTGCTGGTTTCTGTGAAATCAACACCATCGAGCTCACGCCACCCAGAGGTACAGCTTCAAATAGTCCTTCTGAGTGGCTTTCTTGAAATCGGCAGCACTTTCAGACCGGGCTGCCTTCTGCATGGAGCTTGCATGATCTACCTGTGTTTATTTTGTTTTTCTGTCTGCTCCAGTTTCTTCTCGCCTCCCAAACACATGCTGCACGCAGGTTAACTGGTGTCTCTAAATGCAATTCCTGCCTTGTGCCACATGCTCCAGGAATAAGCTTTGGGTTGGTGTGCCCTTCACCGGCCATAAGAGTTTTTTCTAGACAACTTTTCATTGTGTCCTTTTTTTTCCGTCTCCAAGTATTATAACAAGTAGTTGGCAGGCGCAGATTAATCGGAATTAAACTGACTCAGAAGATTCTGTTTGCATCCTGATAATTTTTGTGATGATTTCTTCATGTTTTTCATACATGAAAACATACAAATACGTAAAATTATTCAATACATTTCTAGAAATAAATATGTGAAAGTTAATAAGGTCCATACAAAAGTAACAGTCATTAGTTTTCATTGTAAGGTTATATACATTATATACATTGACTGTAAGTAAAAGTTTAACATTATTCTAGGGTGTTGGGAAGTTTTAACTAGTCATTACATTTTGTGTTTGCACAGTACAAGTAGTGATGGAATCCAGCTTTTTTGCCTTTTCTATGTAGGAAAAGTCATGTTCTGTTTATGTAGTGTATGCATTTGCTGTGGTAGGAATTCCATGACATACAGATACGAAGATGGAAGCACTGAGCTTGAGGAGTCTGTTAACGAAAACGACCTCGGTTCACATTTTTACATTTAAAAGACAAAGAGGGGAAGCTGAAAATTCTTAAACTGAATTCTGAAGCTTAAATCTTGCAGTGTAAAATCCAGCCTAAAATTCACCTCATCTTCTGTTTGGCAGGCTACACCAAACTCCCATTCAAATGGTTTGACTACCTCAGGGAAACAGGTTCCATAGCAGCTCCAGTCAAGCTGTTTAATAAGGTAAGCTATCAGAGGATGCTTAAACTTACTCAAAGCAGAGCAGCTTTGTTTAAGATATTAAACATCATGTTAATCTCATTGTACAAATCGACCATGAATTAGATAAAGCAGTTAGAAAACAGATGGATAAGAAACAGAAATGCAAGTCGCGGAGCCATGTGATCTTTTTATTAAGCCTGCTTCCACAGTCTCATTTCTTAAGACTTTCAAGAATGTGTCCGCTCTTGATACATTGTCTATTTGTGGTTGAAAATTAAATGGAAAAGAAAATTCCGTATCGCTCCCTAGGGATTGAGACACCCTTGCAAAACCAGCTTTGATGAGAAGTGGCAGGTTTGAAGCAGGAAGGAGAATAGGGAAACCCTTAGGGTGGAGGGAACAGAGCAGTAGGAAAATGTTAGGAGATCCAAGGGCTTCCCCTTTGACGTCCTGGGCTCATGCCCTCCAGGAGGTTCCTAACCACGGCTTTCGAACGGGGATGAAGCTGGAGGCCGTGGACCTCATGGAGCCCCGGCTGGTGTGCGTCGCCACGGTGACCCGCATCGTTCACCGGCTTTTGCGGATCCATTTCGACGGCTGGGAGGACGAGTACGATCAGTGGGTGGACTGCGAGTCTCCGGATCTCTACCCTGTGGGGTGGTGCCAGCTGACTGGATACCAGCTACAGCCTCCGGCAGCACAGAGTAAGGGAGATGCCCTGAGAAACGTTTATATGGCCAGGGTGGGCGTAGCATTCAGCAGCACATAAGAAAGCCCACAAACCTCTTTGCTTTCTTTCCTTGCCCACAGAAAGTATTTTTCTGTCTGAAAGATGTGGAACTTAATAATTCTGTGTAAAATCTGCTTTTCAAAACTGCTCCTCTTAATCCAATTCATTTTGGAATTTGTAGAGGAAAGTTAATTCTGTTGCTTGTAAACAGCTAAGCAGACTAATCCCTCTTTAATACATAAAGACTTTTTATGGTTCTCCACACTTTATGGATTAGGATTCCAGGTGGGATTTACATGCACATTATATATCTGATTATAATAGATGCTCAAAAAGGATTTGTTCAGGAAGGAAATGATTGGCATGAACTTAAAATGTAGCACTGTAACTTTACAGTCACAGTCTTTAGTGAGTTGCATTTTTTTTTTGCACCGTCTTTTTTACGTTTGACTTGACTTTGGCCATACAGTACATCTGTGATATTAAAAATGGTTCTGTTTAATAATGATGAAATCATACTATATCCGGGACAGTGTATATGATTTGCAAACCTTGGGATTCGACCCAGTGACCATTAATTGCATCCTAAAGGGAGTTATGTCATTTTAAAATTTTAAAACACCATCACATTACCAATCGTCAAGCTCAAAGTCTGGGTAAATATGTTAAGGACTTTTGATCTCCTTTCCCAGAATCATATGAAATGCATTGCCAGGTCTTAGACCTTATGAATATACCTTAGTGATAAGTAGTAGGACATCCAGAGTCACTGGGAACTGATGAGATGTTTTTCCTTCAGGTAATAATATCAGTAATGATGTTACAAGGCCTGCTTATTAAAGGCATGGTGATTCATACCACTCAACCGAGCACAAGACCCTTAATTGTCCATTTATCTCACATCTTCTGCCATCTTCACATACTTTTGTTCCAATGAACTGTTGACCTTGTAAGATCCATCAGTGGCATGTAGAACATCAGGTTATGCATGTTCTTACCTTGTCCCAAACGTTACCTGTTAATCCTGCCAACATTATTAAACTGTTTTTTCCAGAAGTCTTGATAAATAGAGAAATATGCACAGTTAGCAAACAGTATGTATGCTGTTGGCCGCGGCTAGATTTCAGAGTTAAAGTATCTTCCTTCTCTGAGTAATTATTCACTTTTTTTTATAACACACTCTATCATTGTTCTGTCTAGGATAATAATAATTTAGTATTTATACGTAATTTAACTGGCATAATTTACCAGTAAATGGATGACAGTTGAAATTTCAGGCTGTGATTCCTTGTCTCTCCAGCCTCCCGAGAAATTCCCACGAGTGTGACGAAACAGAAGAAGAAGTCCCAGCAGTACAAAGGCCAAAAGAAAAGTGGGTGACTTCTTACATGTGGTTTGGTGTTCCCTCTTGCCCTCCTGTTTTTAATAACGCAAACTTGCTTGGTGGAGTTTTCTCTCCTTTTCTTGGTTTTGGGTTGTTTGGGTTGGATTTTTTTTAAAAATCTGTTTTAAAAACTGGTTTGCAGGTTAGCAGCTGTCTTTAACTCTGAGAATTGCACAGGAGAGCAAAACAGAATTGGCTTCATTTCAGTTGTCAAGGTCAGAGACATCAGGGCAGTAGAAGGAGACGGTCTTTTGATTGTTCCCACCAACGCTATACACCGATTAGGGAGGGCACAGGGGGCTGGGGCGGTGGAGCTCACTTCTGTGGACTGAAAACCGACGCACCTGCTTTTTTTTTTGTTTTCTGGACTTGAGTGTTGACTTTAAAAAAAACTTACTCTGAGACGCTGTTTTCAACAGAAAAGGCAGGAAACTGAGACCGGGGAAGCTCAGAACCCATTGTATTCATTTTTTTATATCGTAATTAAAAATATGAAGAGCAAATATGACGGCCTTTTTTGAAGCTTTTAATTGTGGTCTGGAAAAGAAACAGAAACAGGGGTAAAATACAATAAGGCAACGGAGCTGAATAGCTTACTGTAGTCTGACTTGGTGTTTAGAGAGGAAGATGCCGCTTGTGAAGAAGCCTGTCAGTTTGTCGAGTCTGCCCATGACAGGCATGGTGCGGAGGAGCTTATCTGGTGACGAAGAGCTGACTCCCCCCCCATACCGACCCCATCCTGCACAAGCACCCCAGGGGGCCCTGCAGCCTCCCAGCACTAGCCGAGAGCTCAGCCCCGGCCTCAGAACAGGTAATCCACCACTCTCCCAGTCACTCTTCACACCGCAGGCTGCACGGCTGCCAGGGGCAGGAGGGGAGCAGGAGAGAGCAGCACCTCTTGATTTATTTACACTATATCCATTGATCTTTTGATTGCAACTCCTTTGTTGAAACCCATTCTTCAATCTAGACGACCATTGATTTGATTTTTTTTTCTATCATTTGCCAACTCAACAACTGCTAATGACTTTCCAGTTTAATAGAAAAGAAATCCCCTCCCTCATTGCCCTCCCTTTGTGTGCTTATTTATCACGGAAAGAAACACTCAGTCCATCAGCTACATGCTGCCAGCTTCCCTATTGCCTATCAGTGGTTGAGGGTAGGGATTAGATGGGGTCCCGTTGATAAATTGTCAGAAAAAGTGGAACTAGGGGGCTCCAGAAATAGCCAGCCTCCCAAAATTAAAAAAAAGTTTGAAATCGTGGAATAGTGGTTTGCTTTGTTCAGGGTTTCTCCTAGGGTGTGTGCTCTTGGATAAGGAGTTTTGGTTTCCGTTTTGATTTTGACGTTGGGCCAGGACCAGGTGATAATAGTCAGGGAAGACTCGTTGCTTAGAAAGACTTCTTACATTGTTTTTTCTTATTGTAAAAACTGTTTGGTTTGGTAAAGGTCTGTTTTGAATTTCTCTAACTCTAGAAAGGTGTTGTTTTCCATGATGCTCTAGCTATGACTGTCCTTAAAATGTTAAAACTTGTTTAGTGGATTCGTGGGGGCTGATAAGGGGAGCCACTTTGTGTTTATTGTCCTAAACACTGGTCCTCAGTGGAGAGCAATGCCACCATGCCTATGTTGGTAGTTGTACTCCAGATTATTGTTGCCAGTCTGAACACGTTTCTTCTGGAAGGTTCCTGATGGAGATCAGGGGGTGTTTATCTGCCCTGCTGCACCAGCTACACTTTGTCGTGTGCAGTCTTGGGAAGACAAGAGGATGCCTCCTGGTTCTGGGCCCTGTCTGCCTCATATCAGCAGCTCCACCACCTCTGCTGATAAAGGTCCTCAGGTTTAAAGAAGACCTGGCCAGGTGGTTATTTCACAGCATCTTCATTCTCTGAAATTTAAATCTCTGAGCAATGGAGTGAACCAGGGGAATACATTTACCAAATCTTGGTGATTTCCCAGGTCGTTTGGTACATTTCTGGCATGATCCAATTCAGATTTCTTTATTGGTATCTAAGTGTGTATTTATAGTAAATCAGGACTGCATCCATAATATTACTTCTGTCATGTCCTTCCTTTGTTTGTGCATTTTGTGTATTTTCTGTGCCACTTGCCAGATTCCGAGCTCAAGGTTCCAGATGTATGTGTGTGTAAGTCACAGTGTAATTAGATGTATTCTACTCAGGTATGTCTTGTAACAGCAGCCCTGGATTTCAAATCTTATTTTGAATTTTCTTGGAATTTTCATAGTTAAAAACGTCATGGACACTGTAAGCCAGTGAATTTTTTGCCATTTTTTTTTTCAATGCCTGTAATATGCCATGCTTTCTAGCCAGAGGGTTTTTCGCCATAAGTTTCAAAGTTTTTCCTGTTTTGCTTGCAGTGGTCTCAATGCAGCTGAAGGAAGAAAACCTGGAAGGGGATGAGTTCACGTTTTCGCAAGGAGTCTCTGACCAGGAAAGCAACGGTTCTGGCAGCTACTACATCAAACAGGAACCGTAAGACAGCCAAGAGACTTTTGATGAAACAAAAGCCTTAATTCTGCCTGTCTTGGCCCACATGTGGGTTTCAGCAGTGGGCTGATGTGTAGCGATACTGACTGCAGAAGAGATTTAACGGGGGATCTTAAATAGAGGGTTTGTAAGGATTTCCAAACAAAACTTAGAAAAAAAATGAGAGAAATTATTTTGTGTGATTTTTTTAAACAATTTGCCAGATGGACTTTAACGTTCATTGTACTTGAAGTTTTCAAAGATGTTTTGTAAGATTTTCAAAGTTCAGAACTGTTGTGTATCTTTTGCAAATAGTTTCTTTCCTTTGTCATTTTTTGTAACTTTTTTGGGTGTTTAGTGAAAACTTTAAGTTTAAGGGGAGGCAGATATAGGTTTGTTGAGAAAAGACGGCATGTGAGTTCAGAATATATTATCTAAATCATAAACCTTACTGGTATTAACAGACACTTGGATTTAAAACAGAAACACTGTCTAACAGATTCCAAGGCAGGAATGTAAAACTCCTTAGGTGCAGCATCATCTCATTTGCCAAGTTTTCTTGTGGTTTTCTTTATCTTTCACGGAAAAAGTACACTGAAGGCTACAAAACATATAGAGAAATGAATCGGGCTTAATTTTCTGATTTAGAAAGCTCTGTAAGAAATGTGATGCACACTACAGGTAACTGTGTAAATGAAGATATGCAAGCTAAGTTTTTATGTTGCTTTTTATGAAGAGATATATTAAACCTATCTGGAATTATCTTTTCAGAGCCATATTGCTACATTTAATAGATGGGTACCATATTTAACTGAGCCTATTAAACATTCAGATTTAAAGAGATTAACAGCTGATAAGAACATTTATTTTTACTTTTTTAATCAGCAGAACATTGAAACTATTTGGCCTGTTTTTTGTATTCCTCATACAATACATTCTCTATCAAAATAGACTTGAACAAACATGTTTGTGCTACCTCTTTAAAATGTAATTTGCAATCTTCATTCTTTTGTGAAGTATAGAAACCTCCACAAAATTATTCAAAAAAGCAAAAGAGATTCTAACTCACAAGTTTATATTGTCGTATCTGGCAAATTATGTATCAATATTCTTATTTTATAAGGCCTCCAAAAGTTGTGGAAATAAATAATGGTTTTTAGTCCTTCCACATTCAATATTACATATAGACCTCCAAATTGCAGTTGGCATGTGTATATTAATCTCTCGAGACTCCTGTCTATATATACAAGAGTAACCATCTGACAGTCGATGTTCAACATGAGTTTTATTATATTAAGGTGGACTAGTTTACCCAAGCCTTCACACTCTACACGTGCAAATCCTGTAGAAACCTAGTGTGTTCAATGTCACAGACACAAGTTTTGGCAGTCTCCATCTCCAGCAATGTTAGACTCATCATTAGGAAGTGCAATAAACACTATTTGCTAAGCTTACATATTGGGACATGTTACTATCCTGATCCCTAGACTAATTTTTTCTTCTTTAAGCGAATCTGGCTGCCTCGTTCTTAAAGATCATTTAAAGATCCTATGGCACTCCTCATAAGAGTAAGGATGTTAACTCTGGTAATGTGTGTAAATCTTAACCTGTGTTGGGCCCAATCTGGCCTATCTAAATTTCTCCTTTCATTCCATTGGTTAAGTGATTTTACATTTCAGTTGATGTGCTGTGTAGCAGGGCTTTTAGTGAATAATGACTGCCTGGAATCAGGTCCCAAGATAAATGAAAAGAGCTTTAGGGTCCTTGGGGTGTGGTCCCAGCAAACCATCTCCCCTTGAATTATGGGAATGAATGTTAACTCTCCCCAATACACAATGCATGGAGGCAGAAATTTAAAAAAAATAATTCTGCTGTTGTGTATCTAATTTTAAGGTTCAAATTCACTGAATATTTCCCATTGTAGGTCATAAGGAGTTCTAATACTTTTGTCTGTGACTATTTGTACATGTATTTTATATAAACACAACCAAGATATCGTAACATGTATGAACCACTTACATTGAGACTGACTGTGCAATAAACATTTGCTGTTGCAAACTGGCTTTTTCCGTACATAGAAAATATGAGAATTACAATTGTTACACAAAAAGATTAAATTTCCTATAATATCGTTTTAAATGTATAAAAGTTACATGAGGTTCAGTACTCATCACAGGAGTATTAAATATTCCTGCACTCTTCGTCTTGCTTCATATACCAGTAAGGTTGACAGGCTAAATTCTCAGGAAATATTTGCATCGTGTTCTATTGGTGTGCTGGGGGCCGGATGGGGTTGGTTATAGCCTGTGGCTTTCTGAGTCGTCAGTATTTAGAATATGCACAGACCATTTGGAGCAAAGGGTACAAAGGAACCTTTTTCATTTTTCTGTTTGGTCCCGTCTCTGTGTACTCAGAAGTATTAATAAAATCTCTAGTGCCGAACATTTATAAATTCAGTTGGCGTATTCAGACAATTGGAGTGTGGGGAAAAAAATGCATACTGCGCAGAAGTGAAATGGATGAAATGTATTTCAAGTACACAAGGACCTTAAGGAAGGTGTAGTGATGGACAACGACGGTTCATGTCGAGAGAGAGAGAGCAGTGACACCACTGACATCTACCAGGGGTTGCATGAACAGCAGTCTTGTCGTACCAACACGATGTCGCTTGTCCAGAGAAACTTGTTCTTCATGGTCCTCTTTGTACATGAACCACATTTACTGTTCCTCTGCACAGTTTTCACGAGATAACAGGCTGACAAAGTATGTCTTATAAGCACCCTCTTATTAAAACAAGTATTGCTTCTGAAAAAAATAAAATAATGTCTTTCCTACAGTGGCACACCACGGCTTGTTCTGACAAAATTTAGAATATATTTTAAACAATTGAAAACTGCAGATTCTTGGCCAAGAAAAAAAGGTTCCTTTGAATTTGTATGAGAATGTCTTTTTTTTTCTGTGCGATATGGTTGAATGCTTTTGAAGGATTCTTATATATAAATATATATAGTATATATTACAAAACAAAAATGAGTACTGCACACAAGAAGAGTTACAGGATTTTGTAAGCCAGCAATGTGTTTATTCCTTTTAGTTGTCTGAAGGGGTGGTGGGGCACAGTCCCCTAATTTGGTTTAGTGGTTCTACTGTTTGTTTTTTTGCAATGGAGGGGTGAGGGGTATTCTATACATTGTTTTGATGTTCAATATGTAGGGGATATATGGACACATAGTACAAGTGAAATTAAAATATGCATTTAATGTTTTCGCTTGCATTAAGTGAAGAACAGTTCGGTCATATTCCATTTTCAGCAGAGCAATAAAGAGTTTATAATATTCTACCAAATACGATTTTTTCAGCAAAAAATTATGCGTAGTTACATAGCCTTTATTTAGATCAATCTAACTTCTGTTTGGGTACCCAAGATGTATCACAAACAACAAAGGTGTGCTTGTGATTGACCAGTCATGCTGTATCCTTCCCAGACATTCTCTGTCAGTGTATTGTATTGCTAAATAAAAAAAATTAAATTGGTTAAACTTAAAATTTAAACAGTACAATATCACTATAACAGGGAGACCTACATGAAAGATCCAGCTTTAAATAACTAATTAAAATGTATAATTATATTAAATGTACTATATCTCAGAAAAAAACAAGAGTTATCTTTAAGTGTATGTTAATGTTGGTGGGACAATTTAGTTTTAAATCAAATTGAGCTGCTAGCTAACTATTGATGTCATTTTAACATAAAAATGAGAGAAGCACACCAAACTTTCACATCTGGCTAAGGCATTTCTAAAGCAAACCTTTGCTGTTAAACCTCATAGCATTTTTTTGGAAATTGCAAACTAAATGGATATATATATATAGATGCACACTGGTATATTTCCTGAACCAAACAATGTAAATTATGGAGACTGATAAGATGAAGCCCATTATTCTGAACTGAAAACTTTACTTAGGTGGCAAGGGTCTTTAGTTATGTGCAACTTCTGTTTATTGGATACTAACACGGGTCTCTCTCTTTCTCTGATGTGAATCCCCTCTTTTCCTCAGTCTTTGTATTATGGTGCTATATATTTGATATACTGATAATCCTTTGTAACTGGGGAATGATTTTCAGAAACTGTGACTATAGGGGAAAATTAAGTTCTCTTCCGTACTCTTGTATTTTGGATACAAATTTAAAACAAAGATCCTTTGTAGAAAATAAATAAAAAAATATTAATAACTATAATTTTTGGACCTCGTGGCAATCATGAGGCAAGAGCTACAAATGGGGTTTATACATGCTTTTCTGTAAGAGTTTTGATATATAGTGTCTGTACAGATTCTTTCCTTTCATTTTCATGGTAATTTGTGCAGTGAACAAGGTATAAGTTTTTCTTTGAATATGTACATAATTAAAAAAGATAACGTGAAAAACTTTTAAGAATGTTGGATTACTTTTTTTTTACAAACCTTGCAAAAATTTTCAGCATGGATGTGAAAGCATTAAAATTATAACTTTGTGTAAAAGATGAAAATAATTCACTAAAGACCTTTTTTTACACTGAATAAAATAATTATACAAAAAACAAGTGTTGCATGTCTTACTGAAATGAAGTGCCCTTTTTTACCATGATGACCAGTTTTCCTTTTGTATAGTGATGTACTCTGTGTCAAGAAACTGCTTGGAGTGACAAAGTGATGTAGTTTTAAGGTATGACTAAGTTTACTGTCATATGACTAAGATTACTGAATGACTAAGTCCATGATAAGTGATGCATTGATAAAGCCATGTGTATACCTCAATCACCCAAGTCTTCAAGCTCTATTCTACCCAGTCCTGGTCCAGGAGGTTGGGTGTGTCTACTAGTTTTCTAGATGTCCTTGAACTCTCAGGGCCTATCCAGAGCTGGGGGGAAGTTCTTAAATTGATTAAGTTAAACGGAGTTAACTGAGGCCAATACAAGTCCATCTGAACTAAAAACAGTGGTTATAATAACCCTCCAAGACCAAGGCTGGGGATCCCTACTCTATACCTTGTTCATGCCTCTGGCTATTCAACCGGCATCTGAAGGCAATTGTGGAAATGCAATACTCTTTTGTATTGTGACCTGTCTCATCTGTAATTTATATTATGAGTTAATGAAAGTGGGTTTTAACAGCAGATGGAGACATTCCAGCCAGAAGTATACCTAATACTTCACTCCTGCTCGGATAATGGTGGCATCACTATGTGTGGAACCAATAATTTACCATTAATTTTTGGTTTTGTATTAAAGGACTGTGCACATGTTTAAATTTGACCAGTTTCACCATGTATCTCCCTGAAAAAGGACATTCCTGTTTAGAGGCTTCAGCAGCTGCATTAGGTGAGTAAAGGTTACTATGTAACACTATATTCATGATATAGAGAAGCAGAAAATCTGATACTCCATTGTTCTATCTCATGGCAAAACAACATTGCTGTTGAAAAGTGGTATCCTTGGGATATCTTATATGTGAGTCACAGTTCAGTGTGTATGTATAACTTTGTTTTAAAGTATTAGTGGCCTACACCCTTGGTAACATTTTTGTGCAGGATTTTGCAGACAATTTCTTTTTTAAATTTAATTTAAAAATAATTTAAATCTTTTATTGATAGAAACATAAATACCACCAAAACAGATTGGTGGATAATCTGGACAAATTTTATGTTGCCCCTTAGAAGTTGTATACCAGCTCTGAAGGACACTTGTGCCACCTACTCCTTAAAATGATTCTGGGTGTTCTTGGAATTAATCCAACAAAGTGAAATCCATTTAAAAAAATCTACTCCAGTAATTTGGTCACAAGTTACTAAACCTGTAGTCTAGGACTGAAGAGATTAACTTTCTAATCTTGTGTTGCAACAAGGTCAGGAAAGCATGTTATTTATACTCTTCAATCAATGAGATGTCAGCAAACAAAACTGGATGCAACAGCACCTTTAAAGGCTTCAAATTGCTGTTTAAAGAAAGGTGCCTCTCACCAAAATGTACCAATGCAATCTATTTAACTGTGCTCAAAATATCCACTGGAGGAGGTAAAGACTGACTGGGAGAATAGTGTATAGTGCTTCCTAGCTGTTAACTGTCAGGTTGTTGCAATTATACAATACAATTAAGCTATATAGATTATATTTTTTGGAAGAAACCCAATTAAACTTTACTATAAGAAACGTGTCAGGTAAACCAGTTTTATTTAGTTTCTAGGTACCGGGTCGAGATTAACTGTGAAACAACTAGAAACATTTTAATCAATTTCTCACATTCTCATTTAAAAAAGGAATCCAGAACTGGGTCTCCATGGTTTTATTGGTAAGTGCTCTGCATTCATAAAAGGGACAATACAAATGTTGCTCCCAGGTCTACATTCTCTGGAATGAAAGGAGATGGGCAGGAAGAGAGGGAGGTCAAGCACAGAGGCTCCCGAGGGCACCAGGTTACTCGTAGATCCAATCATGGGCTGTGCTCTTATAAGCCACCAGCTCCTCTGGCTTGAACCACAGGCTGATCTCCTTGTTAGCGCTCTCCACCGAGTCGCTGCCGTGAATGATGTTCCTGAAACGGCAAGAGGAACACTTAGAAAACAACTGAGGAGATGATCGTACAAAAATGACCTTGTTTCCACTAACCACTGCTCACTTCTGAGTTTTCAAGTTGGACAGTGTTGTGCACTTCAGCCCACTCAAAATCTTGCCTGTTTCCTAGAGATAACCATTTAATTCCGGGGAGGGGGGGGCGGGGGGATACTGTATATTCAGTCTAGTCCACACTTCAGCAGCCAAGATTAAGGAAGGCTGAATAGCCCAGTTATTTCCCCCTGACGGTCTTCCAAATCCACAAACAAGCTATGAAGCTATGATGCTATAAAGGTCCTTCAAATCTCTGCAATGTCAAAACAGACCCAGTACATTTGGACTATCCATTCTCCATTTTCTAACCTCTTTATCAAATACGGGTTTGCGGGGGAACCAGAGCCTATCCCAGCAAGCGATGAACGCAAAGCAGGATTGGACAGGACAACAGTTCATTACAGGACACAGACCAGAGCCCATTTTTCCCAGAAGCCAATGAATCTTCCAGGATGTTTTTGGACTGTTGGAGTAAACCACAGCTACTGGCTATAACCTATACAAAGGTTGCAATACAAACTCCATGCAGATAGACATCAGGAATTGAACCCAGGGCCCCAGTGCTGCAAGGCAGCAATGCTTACCACTGCACCACATTTTGAAACTTTTAAGAGAAACTACAACTCTAAGAAGTGCTCACTGACTAATCACGTTCATCACAAGAGCATCCCTCACACAGCATGACTAGCTGACATTACTGCCACTTTAGCCAACTGTATATGGGTATCGTACAAGGGAGTCCACCTTTTAGAAAATAAGGGCAAATATCACTAAACATGTAAAAAAAACATCGGTACAGTGGTAAGTCAAGCAGAAAATCTCAAATTTGCACTCAAAAGAAATGTCCCACCTCCACTTCAATCCCTTTTCCAATTCAGAAAGTTTCACCTAGGTAATGAGATCAATTCTTTATCAAAAGCTTTAAAAATTGTGAATGCACCTTGATTGATGCATTCACAAATTTTGTTGAGTTAGATTCACTTTTCCCTTTCCAGAATAGGTGCGCCTTTCACTCACCTGCCAACCTGAATGCAGAAGTCACCACGGATGGTACCGGGCTTGGAGGCTGCAGGGTCGGTCTCGCCCAGCATTACTCTGCCAGTCTTCACTACTTTAAGGCCTTCCCATACCTGAAAAGGGGGTGTTTTGTTACAGTTCAGCACGGGAAGCTTATCCATCTCACTGTCTTGTAAAGTGAAGTACAATTGATGAGAAAGCTTACCATGGCAACAACGGGACCGGAGTTCATGTATTTTACCAGGCCGGAGTAGAACGGTCTGTCTTTAAGGTCGATGTAATGCTCTTTCAGGAGCTCCTCTGATGCCTGTAGAGGAAAATAACAGCTAAGCCACGAGCCATTTCATGCCACTGCTTAGAGAGATGTGTTGCAAATTAGCAATATTCCAATTAGTGAAATTAATCTAGGCTTATGCCATCTTTTCAAAAACGTAAAAGATTTCCAAGAAATACATCACAGCACACAACGTAGTGGTCAAAATTAATTGGAAAACCATTTTCGCCAGTGTAGGCATTTTGAAATTACACCAAATACGTTTCTCATGTAGTTTTTCAGGTGTTACTGTGCACACCAAACTCCTGCTCAGATGTACACACCCCCGCTCCCCTTCACTCAGGGTGGGCCATATCAGGGTGTACAAATGACAAGCAGCACTGAACCATCATGAAGCAGGGCAATGGCCAAAAATAGACTTCAGTTGCCATTCTGGGAATGGCTCACTTGCACTTACAAAATAAAACCAAGTTCCATGAATGAACCAATAAACACTTCATTTGAGCACCCTATTCTGCCAATGGAAAAACAGTGCTATAAATATTAAAAGCCAAAGCTAAACTCTTCTAGTTTTGAAGGATTGACATACTTGAAGCCTGTCTTAAAAAAAAAAACTCACTCCAGTAATCTTCCAACAACTGTACAACCGATAAGGTAAAGTCATGCAACTGCTTCATGCCTTCTCAAACATGAAGCTGCACAACTGAATAGCAGTTTCCAGAGCCCTGTTCTGAAATGGCCACCTTGTCTAAAACTGCAAGCAAGAAGATGGAATTAAGACTGAAGCTGGTTCATCCACACTGGGCCCAAGACTTTCTATTGATAGAAGAGAGCAGACTATAAATGGCAGGTGTCTAGACATTCAACTCCTCATAGATTAAGAGGGGGTGGAACACTGCTCATGTATCGGAACGATATGGTTATAGTTACCAAAGGATACCACAGGACCATAAAGGAAACTCTGTCAATGTATAGAAGTAAAACTGAACATTTAAAAAAATTAACCACCGCTTTTAAGGCTTCCTCAACTACATGTTTTGACAGATAACAGGTAGGGAGTGGTACTTACGTGAAGCATTTTCATTGCCACAAGTCTGAAGCCTTTCTGCTCAAAGCGCTTAATGATCTCTCCGATGAGTCCTCTCTGGACACCGTCGGGCTTGATAGCAATGAAGGTGCGTTCCTCTTGGGCGGCCATTGTACTGGAACAAAAGCGAAATGAAAGTCGCAATTATGCCAAATTTAAACTCATCACCAATCATTTGCGCTTTACGTTTGCGTGAACAAGGTTCGGGAAATATTTTGTAACTGGTGTTTAATATCCCCATGATGAGCTGCTTGCACGGGTTCCGACTAAATGGATTCCTTCCGCTCCATTATATTAACTTCTATTCCACTAATTTTCTTGGCATAACCAAATAAGTTTTTTTTTTTTGTTATGGCCATGGATATGATTCCGAACCCTTCTGACCTTCATGCAAACCTCGCTGTTAACAAGCCCCGGAGAGCTCCAATAGTGCAACCCATTGCAAACCTATAGCGTCTCCAAATAATTCACGTCATTCTGTTCCTCTAACATGTGAATCTAGAGCAGATTACTCATCTGTCGATACGGGACATCTTTGTTCACAAAAATGAAGGATTCAGGCGGAACCAGAGAGTTGCATTATTTTAAGTTTATGTTAAGGGTAAAATCTGGGTGTGAATGGCTGACTTATTTAGTACTGCCTTCACATACAGAATCCAAACTTCCAAGAAATTGATTTAGGGTAGTGTAAGGCTTAATGTCTTTTCAGATGTATAGTTTGTACAATCCACCCTTTAAAGTTCGATCCCAGGCAACGGCTTGCCAGCTGAAGCCCAGATGAACTTGACCAAAAGCGATCTACTGTATTGTCTCAAAGGCGGCCATGTTTAATTTTCGCCGAATGCCACTCTGCCACATGGCCTGCTGCTGCTGCACTTCACCGGGAACCGGCAAAGTAATTTCTATTCCCGAAAGATAAAAGGAGCGCCCAAAGTAGCTCACGGAATGTTGTACAATGAGCGTTTTTCAATATTTTCCAAAACCAAAATTAAGGGTGTCACCCAAATAAAGTAATATCGTACTATTAGCAGACCTGTTAAACCGATCCACCAGTATTATTCAATGAAACTATCACAGCTTGCAACGCAGTGTAATACAAGTATATCCTTACAAGGACAATTTATACGTACAAGTCCAATTGTAAAGGCTTTTCAAAACGATCTTATATGCAGTATCTTTGCAATAGCACACAAGACGCAAAGCATATGCCAAAGAAATCAATCTCTTAAATCACAGATTAAATGAAACCCAAGATCAAGGCCAATACAATGGGGCTAACATCTCCTTTCAGATCGCGTCAGACGTGGCCAGCATGAACAGAAAAGTACCTTTCCAAAAATAGTTGACTCTCGGAAGACTGACAGAGAAGCGGACTGGACAGCACACGGACAGCGACTGACGGCCGACGGGGAAATTCCAGAGCAGAGAGCAGCTATATAAAGAGTCGCTGGGCGGAGACTAGGAGGGGTTGCTGTGCTCAAGAGTTTCGCAGAAGGTCCTGAAACTGTAAGAACATGTTTGCCATATTGGCTCCACGGTCCCCCTGTTTCTAAACACAACACGCGCTGTATTTTAGAGCCAAAATGGCGTAAAATTAAATTAATTCTGCTAACAAAAGACTTGAGGATTATTTGTCACAGGAAACCAGACTGAAACGAACCACTTCAATTATTAAGGGGGGTGAATATATCAGTCAAACATTTGTTTCCCCAAAGTATAATTTGAGACCACCTTACAAAAAAGCTATAATGTGTTCAGAATTATTTCCATTAAGCCATTTACTATTTAAATGTGCAAAAAACTAACGGACGAAAGCGCTTACTCTTAAAATCAATGAGGAAGACTAGCCGTTTACATAACAGAATTTTACATGTCATATCTGGGATATTACGGTTATCATATAAACCATATCATTCAACTTTGAAACAAAAAGCAAGCAAAAACAGAACACATTATAGAGTAAAATCCATTCGATTTCTGCATTTTAAATTGTATGCCTCATTCACAGTTCAAAAGTCATAGTTCAAAGGTTAAGTTAGCGGAAGTTCGTATTTTCACCATGTGGGAGAGTTTTTACGCATACTTAAAAAGCACTACGAGTAGCTTTTAAGTAATATTAAAATGTACGCTCGATGGCAGTGATAAAATTGCGATCAATTACGCGATCCCGGATTATCTATCGAGTAGTGCTTTGAGGAAGGGATGCAAGATTTGATTTGCTAGGATTGCTAGTTAGGTGTCAAGGTTTGTGACATCCTAAACGCGTGAGGTCCTCATTATTTGATATAAACAGCGTAAGGTACAATTTTTTAAAAAGTTTTAATTTTTACTAAAATACATTAATATGGATAAAAATAACCGCAAATGTGAAGCGTCACAACGGAAAAGTAGAAAAAGAGCTGCAGTCTCGGACGGTCAGCTCGAAGCAGAAGAGATTAAGAGGCAGATCCACCTCAGCAAGGTGACGGCGCTGGGCGAGAAAGAGGAGTCGGAGAGGCTGCTGGAGGACCTGGTGTTTGGGGCCGAAGACGAGCTGGTGGAGAGGCTCATAGGAGCGCCAGAGGTAAGCTCATTAGCCGGCCGAGAAGCACTTTCGCTCGTGTGGACACCTTCTTGGGTTTTACTAGGTATTTTTTTTAAATAGCTGGGGCTTTAAAACGTTGCTAAGCAAAGGGCTCCCCATTCCTTAAACTATTCTAAACAAGACAACCACAAAATGAAATCAAACTGAAGGCTGCAGTTTTTACAATACGTCAACGGACCGATCCACTGCGCGACTATCTTTTTGAGTAGACGCCGAGGTTAAATGTTTTGTTTCTGGTGCACAAGTTCCCTGCTTGAAAGCGCCTTAGTTTTATTTCAGATCAAGTCTTTAAACATGCTTTTTAGTGAAATAAAAAGATAGACTGAAAGCATCCCTTAATGTGCTGTGGACATACCCACTTTTACACCAGGTGTGCAAATTACATTTAGATAACTAATGGAGCAGACGCCTAATTAAAAAGATACATAAATGGCACAGATTGGTCCTAGAATCGTTGTGTATATCCCCCGGAAGTATCGGATACCGTTACAACATAATGGACTTAAGACAAGTTTCTATTTGCGTTCTTATAGCCTACTAAATGAAGTGCTACGATGTTTGGAGCACAGCGCGGTTTAAGGTAATCTGAAAACAAGCGGGTCACCTGGCACCGAGATAAAAGTTGAAAGCCTTTAACCAGACAGGTAATTATTCAGATACGGTGATCTAATTACCTCTTTATGTGGTTGTAGAGCACCGTGGCCTTTTAATCTGTCACTTTGAATTCCAAGAGAGGAATGACTAACACATAACAGAACTTTAACTTGTTAGGGATTTAAGTGAATAGTGATTTCTTACTTTTCTATGGTAGTTTTCATTTGAAAGGGTGTGCTTTACAGTCATGTGAAAAAGAAAGTACACCCTCTTTCAGTTCTATGGTTTTATTTATCTGGACATAACAAAAAATCGCCTGGTCCGTCCAGGTTCTAAAATTAATTCAATCTAACCTCAGGTGACAACACATAACAGATTCCACTATGTCATTATTTATTTAACACAAAATAAGCCAACATGCAAGAGCCATGTGTGAAGTGCATTATACCCTGAATAAGAACTTTTAAGTTTTGGTGTTTAGAAATAGGTGATGTAGATTTTCTTGACTAGTTTTGTAACCTGTATTTTAGTCATCTAGCAATAAGAGCTCAGTATAGCCTCTTCAAATTCACATACTAAACAAGTAATCTCACTGAAGTACATTGTTAATCATCCTAAAATTCCTACATTTTAGATGCATGAGTTGTTGACACTTAATCTCACTTCCATATCCCAAACAATGTGATTAAAATGATTGGTAACGTGTACAGGTAGTGAAAGTAAAAATAAATGCACTAATTAATGTAAAGTCACTTGCCAGAGCGCTGGGCCACCACGTGTGGCTCGTATGAGGTGTATGCTCCATGGCAAAGAGTCAACCAGCACCTGGAATTCTGCAGGAGAGATGTGGCACCTTTCTTCCATGAGAAAGTCAATCAACTCATGCCTGGATGGCGGAGGTGGAGAACCCTCTCGGGGGTCATTCCAGATTATCCCGTACAGCAGCTATCGGAAGTATTCATCCCCTTTGGACTTTTTCACATATTGTGTTACAATATAGAATCATCATGTGTTGAATTGGGATTGTTTGCAATTGACTTGAAAAACACTAGGGTTGGAGACCCCAGGTCTGTAATTTAAACAATGCTGTGCTCTGCTATGAACAAGCTAAGGTTTATATTCTGTTTCCTCTTTAAGGATGAGGGTGCGCCAAGTGGCAACCTGCTGGATGAGTCCTCCAGTGATTCAGAAGTTGAGAACGAATCTCGGCTGCAAGTGGAGCGTACCAAAAAGGCCGCCTGGTTGGATGAGGATGACAACCTTGAGGAAGAGTGAGTACGGGTGTCGGGCAGTTGCTGGAGGTTGGCTGTGTAATCTGTGTTGCAAAGCAATGAAAAAGCTTTAATATACAGTTGAAATTGACGTAGAATACACCCTCCAGCAGCACCGTTAAGATTGGGTGTCTGTTTCTAAAAATCTTATTCTCTAGCAACGTCAAGAAGATAGATACTGATATGGCTAGATAAGATTTTTGGATCCTTTAGCCACTAGCAAAAAAACAAGCAATATACGAGGAGCTGTCCTCTTTCGTTTATTTCCTTGTACCATGTACAGTTTGAGCCTTGTAACATTGTTCTGCTGCAGCTTGTTGAGTTTTGTCCATGTTTTGTTGATGTCCATCTGAATATTTTTTCTTAGAATTGGCATTCACCTCTGTAAACATCATCTGTAGGAAAATATCATATGAGGCAACTTAGTCTTAAAACTTGTCCTTAAAGGCAGTGCTTCCAGGTAGCTTATTTATCCTTTGGCTCCAAGTTCTACATTGTGGAGGGTCTTTAAATGCTTCTAATAATTGTTGAAGAATAATCCTGTTATGTTCCTTTAAAAGTCAGCTTTCTGCTACTGCTCCAGGCATAGCTTTCATCAGCAGCATATGTCTACATGGAAGTGAGTTTGGTAAGAATCGGCAAAAGGTTTTGTGAAATGTCTTCAGTGTTTTGTCTCTGTTCTGCCTTTACTTTAGCGTGGACATGACTCACAGGTTCCGGAAGGATTTTCTGAAGAGCGACATAGAGAAGAAACTCCCGAAGCAGATGGTGCAGCAGAGACTGCGTGAGCAGTGAGTTTTCCATTTTCACAGTCTTCTGCTGTGCCTCTCCCATCGTATCACCAGCTGTAGAGAAACCAGCTGTGTCCACAATTCATTCTTCGTAAATCAGTTGAAGGCTGTTTTCAGAGCATTTTTTTTTTGGCTTAATTGAAAACTTCTCTCCACGTTTTCAAGAAAAAAGAATACAAATTTTAAAAATTGCAAGGGACAGTGTGGCTCAGGTAAAGAAAGTTAAGGTTTTAGTCAATTGAGATTAAATCTTTGGTTCTTTTCAATGAAAGCCAGTTTTTATACCTCATCTCTTTAGAATGCATTGTAATTGTACAGGCCCTTGGTACACAAGTTGAGCTGCTACTCTCCATCACCTGATTAGTTTCTCAAGAACAATTAGTCAGATGAACAAAGAAAACGGAGTCTTCCTGTCTCAGTCAGTGGATGTGTGTCATCTGAAAGGCAGACGGCAGAATCTCTCTGCGCTCCATTCACAGGAGGGAGAAGGACTGGCCATGGACTGAAGAAATTAGTGAGTTTTGTGAATTGTTTGCTTGGTCAGTCCTTCTGCTTCTGCTTTGAGCCAGTGGTCAGGTAACTGAGCGCAGCAGCTCATTTCCCCAGAGGTTTCTGAGGAATGCGCCCTAACAGGGCTGTCATCTCACAAAGCACATATCTTCAGTTCAGTTCTGTTTTATAGGTGGGTTCCATCTGACTGCAGCTGAACAGCGGCTGTGTAAACTTGCATTGTATTCCTAGCCTCACTGCCCTCTGTTCCACCTGCAGGTTCCAGAGAGCAATGGGTGGAACGCCATCATGGGCAGAAAAGGGTGTGAAGAAGAAGAACAGGAGGAAAGGACAGAAGGGTAAGGACATTGAGCAACTTCATAAAACTAAAAAGATGAGAACAAGATATCTGCCCTTGGACACCTCCTCAAAGAGTATGCCACAGTCACAAAATGTTAAATTTCACCTTCTGTGCTAATTGAAAATGCTACACAATTCATCTTGATCTTCCAGGTATTTATTGGTTTCTCTTAGTACTAATTTGAGAAGAGTTTCTTAGTTTATGCTTTGCAGTTTTATTTCCCTGTTGCCCTTTCAAGTACATTTAAGTTTCTTTATTGTAATACTGAATTTACTTCTTAAGTATTACAATATTGACAGTCTTTTGGCAGTAAGTGGTTGTCTATTATAAAAGGTAAATCATATCTGTTTATCACTATGGAATGTTCCCTAAAGTCTTCTCTAGCAATGACTGTTAAGCAGCTCTTTATTGGTTTGATTGTTCTTTGTGCTTATTTTTTCCAAGGTGACAGTGATGATGATGATGATGATGAGGAGGACAGCCTGTTAAAAAAGACAGGCAACTTTGTTGCTGCTTCCGAATCTCTTCCCAAAGGAATCATACAGGTGAAGGATTTGTGGTTGTGGAGGCAACTTTAGGCTACAGTACCCAGATACTGATGTTTACAATATGGACAAGGATTCTCACAGACCTGGGGTTTTTAGATTGAGTCCCAGCATGGTTGTTAAGCACTGTCTGGGGTTTTGGAGTATCTGGTTTCAAAAGATTTTTTTTGAGACAATACCCTTTTGAAACCACAGGATTAGAGCACCAGCTAGGGGAATATTGTTACAGGAAACTATGCTCCTGGCTGGTTCTTTTACAGTATATATTCTCCAAGTCACTTTTCAGTTTCAGAGTGATGTTTTGGAGGATTTGTTTTTACAGTACACTGAAGCATGGGACTCATTCCTGACAGTCCGTTTTCTAGGTCTCATGGGTCTGTGCTGCCTGTGATATGTTCAAAGGTCTCAGGATTGCTTCAGACTGTCATTATTTCCATATTCCCCCCTGTGTGGTTACAGGTTTTTCATCTGTGGAAATGAGACATAAAAACACACACAATTGGATATTTTAAAGAGTTTATTTTATATTCCCAAAAATATTTTACAATTCTAAAATAATAAAACACATCACTTGGTGTAGGAGTCTTCAGCCCTCAAAGGCCTCAGTGGCTTCTGGGAGCCCAGCAATTCTTCATTTGTAAAGCTAAACAAAATCCTGCAGGATTTCAATCCCAAACATTTGTTTTAATGTTCCATTATTTCATTGGCTACATATAACGAGAAAATAAATATGCACAATATCTGTTTTTCTGAATGTTATAAAGAAAAGACTAAGTTTATCTTGGAGGTCTTTTTATTTAAATTTGTGCGTGTACAGATTCCATTAATTCTGTACAAACTGCAGAACCTTCAGTGGTGACTGTTATATGACCTATTCCTGCTTAGACATCCTGTGACCGCTAAACTCATAAAGACATGTTCCTGTGCTGTTGGAAACAGAGCTGCAGAAAGACAAAATAAAAGAGGAAAAAACATGGGAAACTAGAATAAAACTAGAGAGAGAAGCAAGTGATCTTTTTAGTATTTATGTTCTGCACTTTGTAATGTTCAATACATTGGAATAAGTGAGTATGGACTTTGAAGCACTCTACCCTGTCCCTCTGTGAACCTGTATGCTGTTGAAGTGAGTGTGGGATTTTTTCCATATATGTTTTCTGCTCTTTTCTCAGATGAAGAACTGTTTGAATGCCAACAATGACCGTCCATCAGACACGAAACTAACTACAGTCCAGTTCCACCCTTCAGCCCAGGTGGTGATGACAGCAGGGATGGATCAGTCTGTATCTCTATTCCAGGTACTGCTTTCCTCTGTGGATATAAACAGAACCTGTCATTGTGTCTCAGGTCCCTAAAATAATTGCTTTCCTCTGAGATCGAGTGTTAAGCTGTGGTTCAGCATCAGTGTCTCACACTCACCAGTATAAACCAAGATTAAATTATGCAACAGTACAGATGAATTGTCGTGTGGTCAGGACTCTGTTCCAATCTTGAGTTAGTGGTAGATAAGAAACTATAAATATCCCCTCAACATAGACAAATCAGGAACGGCAAAGCTATGGCTCATAGACAGAACTCTATAACAGAGTCCTGAGCAGTGGCAGTGCAGTTCTGAAGTATTCTGCACCACCTAATGCAGGCGTGAATGTAAATTGCTTGCAGGTGATACAGATTTCCTGTCAAGTTTTTCCATGTTAACTGGTACCAAGTGAGAGGTGGGTGGCTGACTGCCATTACAAATGCTAGTAAGACAAATATCACAGCAGGGGCAAGCCTGACAAAATCAAGCTACCTCTGCCAAATGAGTGTGGATTTAGATTCAGAATCACTAAAACAAGATTGTGAGATTCTCTGAAATTACGCTATGTATTAGTATTGTGTGTGGTACTGTTATATTAAAACATCTGATTTCATGTATCTGTTCTTTTTGGCTTCTGCTTAAATCCCCCTTCAGACTCCCTGAATCCGATTGTTTGTGTTTTCTCCAAGGTCGATGGTAAGACCAACCCCAAGATCCAGAGTATCTTCCTGGAGCGCTTTCCTGTGCACAAGGCCCGATTTAGTGCAGATGGCGAGCAGGTCATCGCCACGGGCACTCGCAACCGGCTCTTTTACGTGTATGACATGATAGAAGGAAAAATAATCCCTGTGCATGGTGTCAGAGGTGAGATCTTACACCAATAATCCTGTGAACCTGTGTTGCCTTATCAAAGGTTGTACAGCATGGTTGTCTTGCGCTGTTACCATGCCGACGCCCTGTGTCAAGTAATGAATGGCTTGGCGGGGGAGCATTTCAACTGGGTTTCCAGTTTTTTCTGTTCAGCTGCGAAGCTGAGTCAGACAGTTGGCAATATCAGACTTCATTAGTATAAATATAGACAACAACTGATGATTCATACGTGTTAAGAGAAAAAAAGACTGTTTGTGGGTATTGAACCATCTGTAGATGTACGAAAGACACAGTGTATGATGTGTGAAAGATGCCAATAGCAGTATGGTGTGGTTTGGTTTATGGTATGACTTAAATTAATTACTTAAAATGAATGGGGGAAAAATAGAGTAAATGTAGATGAAGTCCTTTATAGGCACATACACATCAGGACTCCTGTGTGTTCCTGGCTTCTGCTCTCAAATGTGTGCATCGGATATACTTTCTGCTTAGTGAAGCTCCAGCAAAACTGTTCCTGAAGTTTTGTTTTTTTGTAAAGGAAGTGTGTTACAAACTAGCTGATACCCTGGCTTCTTTCAAGAAACAGATGGGTGTGATCCTTGGATCAATTACCTACTAATTACCAAAGAAGCCAGTTGGGCCAAATCGCTTCCTCTCGCTTCTTATGTTTGTGTCAGTGCTGAAATTGATCAGGATCCTGATTTGTTTTCCTCCAGCATTAAATGAGAGCCAGGTGAAAGAGTTTGAGGTGTCTCCCGATGGTTCATTTCTTCTCCTCTCTGGGACCTCAGGATATCTCCATCTGCTCACCTTGAAGGTGTGTAACAGAGTTTTGTTACTTCTTTGTTCTTTATTTAAGACACCATGGAAAACACAATGTTATAAGTAATTGGTATTCCTTCATGAGCTTATGATAAAATGGTATGACTGCATGACTGTACTGCATTGTTGATTATAGTGTTGTTGCTTGTTTTTCTTTTTTTTTCATTTGTTTTTGTTTATTCATCTGTTTGAAAATTCACTAAAAATGTTGATCACAAAAAAAATAAATTGACCCAATTGGCAATATTGTGATTTTAATAATAGCAGCAGTCCAATACTGGTTTTATTATTTTCAGCTGGTTAAATCTGAATATAAAGTGAGCTTTAATATCTGATAAATGTTGCAGACCAAGGAGCTGGTGCGGAGCATGAAGATCAATGGTAAGGTGACAGGAGCCACATTCTCCTCTGATGGCAGCAAAATCTACGCCTGCTCTGGTGAGGAAATTTAACATATGCTGCCGCAGAATGAGCAGAGCTCTGCTGTCTGGTGAAGGAATTTTGTGCAACTCTTTATTTGAATGGTGTTGCATAATGGCTTTATAATCCCTTTATTACAGCGTCAAAATGCATTATAATCACGTGTTTAAAGCCTTGTAGGGACATGTAAAAATAAAACAACATGCATTTGTTCTAGTATTGCATCATACCAAATGTTATAAATGAAGCTAATTATGCTAAAGTTTACCAAATTTTGTTTTAAATGTGTGCTAGCTCATGAAATACGTCATTCTTGCTAACAGGCGTTAATTCATTTGAAAATGCTATTCACTGTTTTTGTTCACTGTTGATCACTGTTATTCATTTTAACTGATATTATTTTAAAGATTTTATTTAGATTTTTTTTCAGGTTTACTAAACACTGATTCAATCTTAAAAGTAGCAGTAAAAATTGTGGGTAAACTGAATTCTGTTCTATAAGTGGCGTAGCACTAAATATTGGTACCTGTTATGTGAATTCTGTTATCCATTTATAAATTTCCAAGCTATATTAAACTAAAAAAGTAGGTGCATAATGTTATTTCAAGTGAAGAAAGATGCAACACTGTATACAAAAAACTTACATGTACACTACCCAAAGAATGAACTTCAGGGGAGAATCGTTTTATAAAGTCATTTTAAGTATATTACTGACAAGATGGTACAAGTAACATGAAAAATAGAACAAGATTTTAAACAATTAAGTGTACATTTTGTTTTATAATTTAAGCAGATTGTGCTAATCTTTTTAATTTAAGTGGATACTGGAGTGTTCACTGCTTGGTATGGGTTACCTTACTGTTCCACTAATGTTGTGATCAGTGCACTAGGCTTGCACTGGGCTTTGTGTTCACCAGGAAGCTGACTGCAGCATTTGAAAGAATATTTGCCTTCCCTGTTTTTCAGATGAGGGAGAAGTATACATCTGGGATGTTAAAAGCAGTAAATGGATGAACCGGTTCACAGATGAAGGCTGTTTAAAAGGAACAAGTATTGCTGTGTCCAGAAATGGGCAGTATCTGGCTTGTGGGTAAGAAGGACTGTTTTTTTTCTGATTGCGAAGGACTTAATTTATTTCTGCGAAGGACTTAATTTATTTCTGCATTTACTCCCCCATCTAATAAAAGTAATCTAGCTTTTTAAAGCCTGGTTCATGGTTCTATTTCTTCTCATTGTATGGAGACATATCTGTTGGGGTCTTAAGATGAAACCACAATATTAATTATAAGGTCTATTGGCCAAATACAGTGAATAAATTTCATTACAATAGTATTTCCTCATTTGTATACCTACCCAATGTTATTTGTGCAATTTGTTCTTTGCTGTGTGTGAGCATAAGTCAGCCTTAAGGGATGTGAATCCTTAGGCAAACCTACGAAGAGGTTGGCTTGTGATATTTTTAGAACCCATTTAGCTTCCTACGATTAAGAGTAGTGTGGAAGCTCTTGTGCTGATGTGCATCTAATCTGAGCTGCCATATAATCTATCCACGTACCCTCTGGAGAGGAGATCAGGTAGAACTGTCTTGTCTAGTGAAGAATATAGTTCAGACTCTTCTTGAAGTGTGTTGCACGCTTTTATTATTTGCCTGCAGCAGCAGCTTCTAGAAGGCTTTTTTAGAGGTTCTCATTGATGTTTAAAGATCCAGTAAGGGTGAAGGTATTCATTACCTCTCCTGTTTGAACAGAACGTGCCTCTGTGTACTAACAGTTCTACCTTTTCACTGGGGCAGCTCATGTGACATATTTTGCACAAAATTGCAAAAGTATCCAGTGAAATAAGGAGCTGGTATAACTCACAGACACGCTGCAAACTGTGAATCAAAAACACGTGAAACAACAAAATGTCTTGATAATCCTTTCTTAATCTCCCCCAGATGCATTAGACAGTCTGTATTCCACATTCTATTTTTATCAGGGCTTTCAGTAAAGATTAAATGTAATTCTCCTGATCTATCATTTCATGTTATTTTAGATGGGTTTTTTTTAAAATAACAACAGGATTATCCATAGTCTTCCTTGGTCTCCAACAGATCAGTTAGCTGCTTCTGTGTTCCTGTCTCCCAGAATTGTGATGTCATTTGTTATATAATTTTCTATATCATCTGTTATGTCATTTGTCATGTGAGGAAAACACACAAGTAAGCATTTCATTGTATTTGGGTACATATAACATTAAACTTGAATTTAGCTTACAAGTCAGATAGATTCAGGAGCTTTGACCTTGACACCGCTGCTATAATTCAACTTTGTGTTTATTAGAGGAAATAAACTGGGAATTGTTAGGTTACAGTATGGAGAAGTCAAGGGTTCAGCTGTCCTAAAGAGCACTTCACATCTCCAAAGCAGAGGATTCTAGGCCAAAGTGAGAGAATTGTGCTTTGCTTTTGACTTGCAAATGTACAGTGTTTCCCTTGCGTCATTCTTTCTGAATTCCACATTTTGAAAACCAGCAATTACTCATTAGTTTAATTAGGTGAAAGCTCATGGTAATATAAGGGTGTTTCTGATTATTCTCTCATTAATCATAAGTTAGCTAGGCAGATAATTAACCCAGTGTATTTTAATTGCAGGAGATTTACTTGCACCTTTTCTATCTCTGTGGGGTAGGGGAAAGCATCTTTTAATGATGAATCAGACTGCTCCACAGTATGTTTTTTTCCTGGATAATTATTTGCTTGTTGTTTCGATTTTATTCAGCCCTTGCTACAGTGGAATGTATCTCTGTTTCACTCAGGTTAGCAGAAACAAATGGTGATGGCCTTTCTTGTGAGGAGCTCAGCCTCTGATTGTCAAAAGATGCTATGTTTCCAAATCAGTATCTGCTGCTGAAAACCTTCAACACCTCAGTGGAACCGTAGTAGTCTTTTTGGATTTTTTGGGATTGAGAAAATTGCCCTCGCTTTCAAATTACTGTTAGCTCAAACGTCACCACCTGGTGGCACAAGAAGGAAAATGTTTTTCTTTACCAGATCTGTAATGTTCCTCAATCTTGTTTAAGAGTTTGGTGGTAAAATATCAATTCTGTTTATTTTCTTCATAAATAGAAAAACAGGCTATGTATAAAAAACTGTTTATGATGGAGAAAAGAACTTTGAAAAAGCTTTCATTTGAAATTGCACAGGTTTTATTATGGGCTTTAGAACTCTGTTAATAAGCTAGTCTCAAACATATTCTGCTTATTGTGATCAGGACTTAGGGAACAGGTGGTACCAATTTTACATCATTTTCTTTAAAAGAACCAGTCTTCACTGGGACTGCAGAGGAAAAATGTATCTCTTATATTCATAGTTTTTGTATCATGGTTTGTGAGAGAATTAAGGATATTTTTTTAACATTCAGTAAAAGAACTATGCTCATACATTCCTGGCTTCAAAAGTATTTTATTTTCAAACAGAATGGAAGGACATAAAATATATCTTTTAATTTGACGTCTACCCTTCTGCTGAAAGCCATAACATTTGAGTTCTTTAAAATCTTAGAAACGATAGATAGCAAGTTATCTGTATATATGTGTGTATACATTGAGCTTTGGCATGGAAGCAGTAAAACAAATAAGAAGGTATTAAATAAGAAAACTCCCAATGCTGATTAATAAAACAGTACACTGGGTTACATGGGTTTAGCTACCTTAAATGTAAAATTGAGTTCCTTTTGCTGTATCATGGTTTTCCATGAGGTGAGGAATATTCTCTGTAAAGGTGTGCATATTTTTCAGGGGAGGGGGTGGGTCATTTATATTTTGGAATAAAACATTGAACAATAGTGAAGGGAATATTGCATTGTAATGGAGTAATCTCAACTCATTCTCTGGTTCACAAAGAGATGCCAGAAAACAAAAACACTTTGCATGCCAACAAATCAGCCTGCAAAGGAAAAAGCTTTTTGCTTGGGTTTGTATAAAAGGCTGAAAATGAAGGAGTTAGTGGTTTAATGCCCAAGTGAGAATACTACCTGGAAGTATTCATGTTTTTTTTTTAAAGCTTTTCTGTTTGTTTACTAATCTATTGTGAAATACAGGATATTTCACTTTTATTGTAATGGGTATAAAAAGGTAAGCTATTTTTACAATTGAGAATTGGAGCTATAAATGGAATTCAAAATGGAAAAGCACATACCCCCCTGATAGCAGGCCTTTTTCTAGAAAATAGTCTTTTTATAAAGTAGAAAAGCTAGCTTAGGAACACTGTGAGTGTGTGCTGTCGTGTCTCCTCACAACACGTTGTTTTGACATCAATGAGATGGGGGTATTGCGTTTGACAATTTAATTCTTAGCTTAGTTGTCTCAACCATAAAAATAAATGAAGTGATCCGCCTTCAAGTAGCTCAGAGACAGGGGCTGACGCCAAATGAATGGAACTCGAAGATCTTTGCTCTCTTCTTATTTTAAATTTAGATCTGAACAAGGGGGATAACAACTTGAAAATGAGAAAGCACTTAGGCAGAACAACAGTAACAACAGCTAGTTAATAAATCATTTGTTCTTTTAAATTGAGTGTATAATATTTAACATAAGGCTGTATTTTTGTAACAATGACATTATTAAACTTTGTGAATGAGCAATTATTAAATGATTATGGGTGCATACCCTTACATACATAGGTGCATACATCTCGGGGAGTTCAAAAAGCTTTGTTCCCACTTTATAGCCAAAAGTGTTTGTGGCTTTTGCTGAAAATGACACACACAGTATTGGTCACTGGTATGTGCAGCTACAGTTATTCTTTTGTGTTGTACAGAGAGCCTTGTCTGTCATTGAACAAGTTTAGTCCTTTCCTATTTCTGTACAAGACCTTTGGAAACAAGGTTAGAGGGATGATTCTCATGATTGTTCTTAAAACAAAATTGCTGCTAGGACTTCAAAATACATTTAAAATATTTTTTTCCTGTAAAAAAGGCTGTATAAACTGTATCATAAGGCCAAATCTTTGTAGAAATGCTAAGATCTGAAAATGTACCATGTGAATAATGTGTCCACGTGATATAGGCAAAATTGAGATGACCTGTGCCTCCTTCACCACAACAAAACTGTTTAGTAAGCTTTTTTATGCTAGTGTGGATTTTTCAATGTCACTAGTAAAAACTGCTTGTAATTTGAGGTTCTCACAAAAACAGCCTGTAGTTTGTCCTTGCAGTATTGTAGACAGCAGTACAGTGATGAAATACCTGGCTGGCCAGGAGTGGAATTGAGTTTTTAGTATTGAGTTTGCTATCCACATGCTGGCTGCTCAGAATAATATGGACTCGGCTTCATTCAAGGTTGATATTTGGTTAAATATGGTGATATGGTGAAACCTAGGGATGTTCTTTGAGTGGGATGGCGAAAATGTCATTTGAAACCATAAAGTAAAAAAAAAGGGCAAAGAGTGGCTCCTAAACAAATTGGGGCAGTACCCAATGAAAGGCACACTGAAATGGCACACATCTGCCTCTGCCTCCAAATGAGATGAAGTCCTTAACAAAGCCGCTGTTGTCGGAACTCATTTTGTCCCCGTTCTTTCTCCGCATGATGACTCTTCAGTGTCATTTCTTCAAAATTGGGCCATTATTGCACATAGTCTGAATGGATTCAACACTGCAAAAATTGATACCTTTGCAAAATGCTACTCTCTCTAGCAACCATTCTTGGCATCAGAAAGGCTTTGTAAAGAAAGTAAGGTGTTTAAAAATAAATATATATTCATACTGAGTTACATTAAAAATGCCACAGACGAGTATTGGACCCAGTAGTCAGAACAAGAGCATCTGCATCCCAATGTATAGATGTTATATGCAATCATTTGTGTATAGACATTCTGTATCTGAAAGCTTCTGTGTTTTCAAGTATAACAGCTGTCTTTTATATTAATTACTTTTTTTTAGCTTTTTAAATTATATATGCACCATATTTGTGCATTAACATTCTTAATAATCACTGTGTACATATAAAAGGTCTGTGGTAGTAATACTCCTTTGCATTTATTCATTATTGCCTTATTAATATTTGCAAATGACACTACACTTTGTTTTTCTTTGTGAAGCCACCAAGTGTTTCCTTAGAGATTTGAATTGTGAATTGGGAGATTATATGAATAGGCATACTTTGGAGAAGGTGCAGTACTTGGTGTACATGCATGACCAGTAACATTATAGGAGTTAGAAGTTTAGCAGTTTATAGCCTCACCTGATGATTCCCAGCCAGTCCTTTTTCTTTGCAAATCTTCAAAACTCCCTGACAGCCTCCCCTCTCATTGCTTTTCTGATCCTTTGTAATCAAACTGTATGGGTTGGCTTCCCTAATTAATTTCCTGTGAGCAGGTGGTTTGCCCATGAGGAAAATTGTGCTTCTTTGACTCCTGCCTTTACCCACTGTGCATTGAAGTGGCAACTCCGAATACTGCTTTCTCTACCTTTACAGACGTTCTCCTCCACTCAGCCGCAGGGTTTTTGGTGCTCAAATTAGAGAGCAGCTTGCAAAGCTTTAAGACCATGAATTGATCATTAATTAGCTTTGTTGTACTACTCTACTGTTCCAAATGCATGTTAATGCTTTTGGCTTTCCTGCTGAAGCTATTTAAGATTAATTGTATTTCTGCGTTCACAATATGAAGGAGGCTTTAGGCATTACAAGCCAACAGGCACAGGTTATATGGTGTCACATGAATCTTGTATAGAGATAATACTTGCTTAGACCAGAAATGGGCATCTCCCAATTCTCATGAGCCACAGTGAGCTCGAGTTTTTCTTTAAACTCTAACCTTAAAACGTTTGGTATAGATCATCTTGTCAAGCCTTCACCAAAACCTGAATTGTGTTTTTAAAATATTTTTCATCCTGACCACTATCTGTCTGGTCTTCCCCAGGTCTAATTCTGGAGTGGTAAATATCTATTCGCATGATGCTTGTCTTCAAGAGTCTACACCAAAGCCATTAAAGGCCATCATGAATCTGGTGACATCAGCTTCTTCACTGCTGTTCAATCCCACCACAGAAATACTAGCGATGGCTTCCAACGTAGTAGACGAAGCCGTCAAACTGGTAAGTCAGTGTTCAGAAGGGATCTTCTGTGTGCCTGAAGGCTGAATTACAACATCCCCTGAAAGCTGATTTTGTGTTTAAGGTGTCTTAATTTCAGCACATAAGCTTTGCAAAGGTTTCGGGAAGATTTGATAATGGAACGGTCATCTGTCAGAACAAGAATTCATGGAGTAAGATAATTTTAGTCTGGCATGATAAATTGATTTGGGGGCATAGTTGCAGGAACAGTCATGTGTCTGTGCTTTGCAAAAGCTAAAGCATGGTGTCTGTTTTCAGGCACATCCACAGCTTAAATGAAATAATAATAAATAAGTGATTTCTGCAGATGGTAAAATTTCAGAAAGTCAGTGTGAACATTTCTGGATCAGAAACTTGACATAAGTGGGTTTTTTTTGTCCAGGTTAATTGGTGTTTGTAAATTGTGGCTGTGTGTCCATTTGGGGTGGTTACTGTGACCCACACTAATGGATAGATGGCAAATTTAAATGCATGTTTAATGGGTAGCGTATATTAGACGCACCTTTAAGTAACATGAAAGTCCAGAAAATCCATTGCCAATGTAATTGTCTTCATTAGTTTCACAGAAAGATTAAATAAGAAGCAGAGTTTGTTTCAGCATCTGTGGCAAAAGGAGCAATCTTTTCAACTTGAGTGTCATTCTTCAGTTTTTGCCTTCAGCATCTTACTTTCAATGAATCACAGAGTTATGTGGTTAGTCTCTAATAAAAGAATGTAAGGGGTAAAACACTTTCAGGACCCATTGCTTAATGTTGCCATATTTCAGTGAAATGCTGAAAAGTAACTCTGGGGAAAAAAAGGCCTTCAGTGAATTGCAATGACTTCAGCCCTACTGTCAGCTGTAAATATTTAATTTGCCCCTAGAAATGACCTTGGAATTCTACTGTTTTTTCAGTGTTTCAGTGACCAGTTTAGTGTGATAATCTGTTTACGGAAAAGGCCCCTGTAACATACAGACCTCTAATGAATTGACTGAGCTACTGTTCAAGATATACTTATGTTGTTTCTCAATGCGTGGTCAGGTATCCATGGAAACCACTGTGAAATGACAACATAAATAGGAAAGTCAAAAGGTTCTTGTATGTTGTGGAACAATGAGGTGTTAGTGTTGATAGTGCTGCATCAAAGTCACTTCATTATTGACAGCTATCTCAGTATAGTTTTACATTTATGGGACTAGGTTAGTTTCATTGCATGTTAATTACATTGCCAGGTGTGTACCACCAAATATGAAGATACGGAATAAATTCATTAAAATCACAGATGGGTACAGTTGCTTTGTCAGTTCTGAATGAGCTTTTAAAAACGTGATCCAGATGCTGAACTGTATGCCATCTGTTTGTCTTTGCCCATCTTTCAAAGTTAAATTTCAGTTTTTTTTGTTTTGGTGATTTCAGGTGCACATCCCTAGTTTCAGCGTTTTTTCCAACTTTCCCGTATTCCGACGGAAAACCATTTTCCTCCCTCAGTGTATGGACTTCTCTCCTCGCAGCGGCTTCTTCTCTGTGGCTAATAACAAGGGCAAAGCTCTGCTGTACAGGTATGGAGCTCTTGGATTAGTGCTGATTTACAGCTGCTCACTCCACCACTGCAGTGCCCTTGTTTCAGCTTATTTTAAGGTGACTGAAGTTGGGTTTGAGGATCATTGTGCTTATATTTGGACAGGTACAACACTGGAACAGTGTCTGTACTTGCACAAAATAGCAGGTAGTCTGGAGAAGAGCCCAAGCATACACGTGTTATCTAAAGATCAAATGTTGCATTACAGACACACTGATGCTGTGGTGCTTGATGAAATCCTTGAACGTAACTAACAGTCAAATTAAGCATTATCATATAGTGATATACGGGAAATGAAACGTAGTGGTATAACATAAAAGGTTATTTCTGCTAAATGTAACAGAGAAAACACTATGCTAGTTGATACGGTTTTCTTTTTTCTGGTTCCTTTTTAACTACAAGCACAAGAAGAATGATATCGGGGACTGTATTGACTTTGTGATTGCAGGACCCCCTGGGTATTTTCTTATCTTGTACTGATATATGTCATAACATTTAAGAACATAATCATGTTTACGGGTGAGAGAAGGCTGTTCAGTCCATCTGGCTTATTTGTTTTTATTGGCTAAATGATCAGGAAATCTCATCCAGCGGTTTTTGAAAGAAGCTACAACAGTTTTAACAACATGTATGGCCCCACCAGCCATACTCCATACTCCATAGCCTTTGTGTAAAAAAAACGCACTGGCAACAGCCAGAGTTTTTTTTAAATAATTAGAGGGTGCTAATTAGTCTGAAATGTGCATTTCGTCACTGTTTACAAGCATCCCAAAATCCATCATCTTTTTCACTCAGTGTTCATGTATAAATACCTTAAATGTTAGAAGCAATTAGATACATAAAAAATTAAAGAGCAAGTACAAACTTAACTTGATGAATGATAGATAGTGTTCCATATTGATGATTTTTAAGCAAAAAACTGATGGATCTTCTTTTCTTTTAGGTTGAAACATTACACAGACTTCTAATGAGCTTTTTCTTCTAATCCTGTAAGTATAACATTGCTAAGTGCTATTTGAGTTGAAAGCATGAACCTTATTTTTGTTATATTTGTGCATAAAAATCTAAGGCTAGAAAATAAGAGCCAAGTATATTTTGGGGGATGTTTATCTTCAAGTCAGTACTAGTTTTTTTGTTTCCATTTTATAATGGAAACGATAAATAAAGAACAATGCTCTGTAAAATCTGTTCTTTCTAAAACAACTGACTGACATTCTAAGAGAATATATATTTTAGTAATTGTGATTATAATCACAGAAGAGTTTAAGAATGGCTTATGGTGTACAAGCCATCTGTATTAAAAGAATGTGCAGCTGAATGTGACTTTCAGTGTTTCTTAATTTTATCCACACTGGCATTTGGAGCAATAAAACCTGAGTTGTACACAAAAAAATAGCATAAATCTTTTACTTTGAGTAACTCAGTTTGGTCCATGATCAGCATTAAACATCTAAATACACTACATTTTGCTTAGTGCTGGATGGTGACTTATATTTACCTAGACTTTCAGTCAACACACTGTGAAGTGTTGCTTCTGCACATCCTTCCACAACTGAAGATAGTAGGAGTTATGGATTTATAGTGTTATTACAATAAATTAGAATCTGCTCTGATGGCATTCTGTCAGGGTTCAGTGCACTGAGCTTGTTACAGAAGTGAGCTAAACTATCTAGACTTCTGCCACAGTAAACAGTAGTCTTTTAGTGTAACAGATGTTGCTGCTGTTTAGAGAATGGTGTGCAATCTCTGAGCCCTCAGGTGGCTGTGATTGGATCCCAGCAGAGGCAGAGCAGAGCTGCACTCATTCCACAAGCTGAACCTATTGCCTAAATTTCAAAGAAGCCTATTTGGTGCCACAAGTATTGCCTGCTGTCCCATTCAGCTGGTTTTGCAATTAGTTATTATTAAAAATTAGAAATTGTTAAAGCAGCATTTCCAAAGTGAATAACATCATCCTGTGCATTATTTCAGGCATTGAATAGCTGCTTAAAGAAAAAGTTAGTGGATACCAATTTTTGGAGTACCGTACATGTTGTGACAATGGACATTGACAGACCATTGGACAGTTGTTTGTTTAATTGTTAATTTCAGACTGAAACTGTGTATTTGTTACACTACATTTACAGTATTTGGATAGGAGTTGTTAGAAAAGATTAATTTTTGTGAGCTACAAAACATGTATGTTTCCATATTCGTTAAATTACTGTAAATCACTATAAACCAGAAAATCACTGTACCTAAATGTTCCTGAATGGTTGTAACTGTAAGTCTTGTAAATCTTCATGAGAGCAAATCAGTTTTGTGGAGGTTTTCATATGGATACACGATTAGTCTTGTTATATAACAGTCCCCAGCTGCTGTTGTCTGCCACCACAGGGTGTCACTCTAATACAGTAAGAAAAGTCTTAACCTGCCTCAGTGTGTTGACGTTTCTGTTTTTAAACAGACTGATTTTCTGAGGGTTTTGTTTCAGTAGGAATGGAGCAGCGTGGAAACATGGAACAGCCTCAGGGTGGATTCGTTCTGATGCCTGTGTGGGTCTGCTCTACGACATGGGACATCTTAGCTTACCACACTGGATGGTTTACTCTGTATGATTCCTCAAACTCATTGTGTCAATTTATATTTCTAATAAAAAACAAATGTGACATTTTCTTTAATTTGAGACAATTTATTTACAGATGCCCTAGGCTTTTCTTGAGATGAAACTGGTTTAATATTAATATCTGAAATCAAGGAAAATCCAGGGAAATAGGTTATAGTCACGAGTCTTTTTAATCTCTTTGCAGACAATGATAGTTAGACATTGTGTCCTTGTTTTAATAAGAGCTTACTGAATGTACAAAAAAATGCTTCTTTAGCACTAGTTTTTGTTCTATTTATATGTCAGCCAACCAAACCATCCATCTTTTCCTAGTGAGAGCCGCGGTGTGAACCAAACCAATTTTGTAATTTCCCAAGAATCCATTGCTAGAGAACAGTGAGAAGAGTCATAGACCAAATTATGCAGTTTGATGGAAATAATATTTAGTCTGCAATGTTAGAAGTAGGTTTTGAGTGTCTCTTCTCTCACAGAGAGTTTTTTTTGGCCTTTACAAACACAGAGCCTCTGGCTAACAAACGTATTTACTTCATGATGATATTAGATCATCTCTGATGTCAGTGACAGGCAGTGAGGTGCTGTCATCTTCATAACTCTCTGCAATAGCTTTTTAAATGACAGGCTTTAAGAGTTATCAACAAGGATAATGATTCTTACGAACTTCAAGAAAAGTTTTCAGGTCCTGGCTCATCACACTTTGTGAACCACAGAACTGTCTTCTACATCATACAAGTTAGAAAATAGCTAGAACAATCATGTTCCTGTAAGAGCTGTTAGAAATAAGCTGTAATAAAGCTTTCAAATGGCCCCTGCAATTTTAGATATGTATTTTCTTTATCCATGGCAAGTTAACAACTACCTTTCACAGCTAGAACATGTTGGCTTAGTTTACACTGGGATTGGGTAAGGATGTGTCACTGTCATGATTTTGTGAGGTCTGATTTAAGCTGCTTATGAAGTTTTTCAGGAGAAGAGGCTGGTAGATGGGGGGGGGACTCAAATTTAGGTTTAACATATAACTTCTTTAAAAACCTGATCATCTTCTTTCACAGGAGGCAGCAAAGAGGATAAGTATATTTTTCTTGCATAGAAGAGCTTCCTTTGTGTTCAATTAAATATGGGCATTGCAACTTCAGTGTGCAGCATAATAGGTGACCCTCATGTTTCTGAAGATCTTATACGAGTTGCCTCGGCAACCAGCAAAGTTACCATACCTCTGGTGGAAAATGCAGGAAATCATTTTGCCGCAGTAATTTGATCGCTAGAAGCAAGCATGATCTGTTTTATTTGTTAACAAGAAGGAAAACTGCCTGCAGGGGGTATCGAGGAACAGGGTGGGAAGAGTGTAGTGGCTTCTTTGCAGTACTTGACTCTGCTTAAAGAAACTGTCGTGGTGCATCACAAAAATCATGGAACTGGAATACTGGTGATGCAACACCCCTCTCTTCCTACCCTTTAAAAGGCAAGTTTCCTGTGCACAAGCCTTGGAGTATTCCATGATGAGAGATACATTACTGAAAATGCCATTTTAGTGACAAAATGTAAAGAAATTGGGATTTGGAAAAGACGCATGCAGCCCCAGATGCCAAGACCACAGATGACAGAACGAAGTCTAGTCTGCAGTGATGGACAAGAATTAAATGTTCAGCTCTTTCAAGCCTGACACAGCAGTCACTTTACAATTCATATCCTGTCACACAGCTCTGTGTATTCAGGATTGAACTTGGATTACTATAGCTTTAAAGTCATTTGCAAGTTATCTTTAAGATTTTCTGTTAGCTTCACAAGATGATGTGACTGTATTAAGTAGCTCACAGCCAAATACCATTTGCAAAGAACACCTCTGCAAGTTTTTTAGAATCTAGAGCAGTGCTATGGCATTTGGCAAGGATAGCACAAGCTGTCATTACTGCAATATTAACCTGTGTTCCCCATCAGCTTTGTATTTTATCTCCATTAAACTCCCAGCAGTGCTTTGCAGCTTCCTTAAACTGGAAAAGTGTTCTATTAACAAGTTTGTACTTTGGTTTCCTGCAGTCTTATCAAAGCCATTAATACAGGAATATTAATGGCCCCACTCTGTGTAAGCAAATTTTTGAAACAGTTTTGCCATCTCATGGTTGTCCTAGGGGCCTTCATTTTAATTACTCTACAGTAGCAGAAAAAAAAATCCCTAAAGCGAACAGGACACAAAAGGAAAAGGTACAGAGAAATAAAACAGAAATATTAATAGATTAGTTGCTATGTGCTATGTTTCCTTGAGTATACTTAGTGAGATTTATTAAACCCAGGTCCTAACAGCAAAGCAAAACGCAAGTGAGTCACACATTGCCAGTAAGACTTGTTCTATTTGCATCCCCACAATGAATAGTTCAGCCCTTTTAAGGAAAAAGAAATTGCTTGGATTTAACAAATGGTGTTAAAAATAGAAGGGAATGACCATGATTGCTTTAATTATTAACTTCAACCAATAATTTATTCAGTGTATAATTAGTATTCTTTCAATAGTCAAAAATATACTAATAAAGTAAGATCCATTAAGTTAGTGAAGCACAGCCGGGACACAGTTCCTCCTCCAACCAATTTATTTAATCTATAAATAAATACTGCTGATATAACAGAAACAAAATAAATCAGTATGGCACAAATTAGATTTCAGGTGTCATAGTCATGATTTAATAAAATAAGGATTCTTATTGTGGTTACTATAATTGTTTTTAACAAGTAATCAACCAAATGATTATTGGTGACACAAGAATGATCTGGGAATACTTCACTTGTCTCGCATTAGTAAGGACTCTAAGCACATGTCAATATCCAAGTGTTTCCCAGCCTGTGGTCTGTGGCCCTTGGCTGTTTGTGAAACTACAGTGTGTTCTCAGAAATGAAAATGCTGTGGATTTTATGCTAAAACTGTAATTGTTCCCACCCTGATAGTACTCGCCATAAAGGACACAACACTTGCTTTTCAAAGTCTTAATTTCCTTGCAGTTTCTACTGCCATTTATCAGTTAATCCCAGTTAATCAAACATTGTACTTTTGACAGCATAGGGACATTATTATGAAAGATACAGCATGTTAAAGTACAGTATATTTAATGGTATTTGTATCATTTTATTTTCCTGTCTTAACAGCATCTGCTTTCAATGAGAAATATGTGAAAAACGAAGAAGTAGATCCGTTGACACTTGTAACAGAAATGGAATATCTTATGAACAGTGTCACTCAGAAGACAAAATTATTTGCGGGAAGGCATTGGGAAATGTATGAAAAACGAGTCTCAAAACGCTATATTAATACCAAAATCACAAACACCAAAATTATCTACAGAAAACACAGAATCACTTAAAAATTAACACCTGTTTAAAAAATAAAAAGGTGACAAATAATAGAAGACCATTTGTCCCATTTAGCCTGTTTGGTGGTTAGCAGCTAATCAATCTGCGAATCTCATCCAGTTGTTTCTTAAAAGAATCCAGAGTTGGGTAGCTTGTTCTATGCACCTACAGTCCTTGGTGTAAAGATGTGCCTCCTGTTATCTCATAAACAGAAGCTCTATAACCTGTGCAGGGTTTTACTATATGAAAAATTTAATAAATCAGATTTATGTGGATAAGGTTCTTTTGAATGCTTAGTTTCTTATTTAAATCAATTATAATTAAATATTACACTAATATTACAATAAGTATAATATAATAAAAAGTATACTTGGAATTTAGGCATAACACTTACAGGACTATGGCTTTTCGGGACATGGCATGACTGTCACTGGAATATATGAAATGAGTTCAGGTGTCAGCAATACCCAGGAGGAGTGTTCTGTGACCATTCAGCAGGAAGCCATTAAGTCCCTCAGGATGTATCTTTGCAAAGTGGTACATTGATACAAGCCTTTCCACTGTGGAGGAAATGAAAAGAACATCCTCAATGCCCAGGTGAAAAGTATGTGTCCCTTGGTATTCTGAAAAAAAGATGTTAATAAGAGAGTAGACAGTTTGATCACTGTTACAACTTTTTTTTTTCAATTTTCTAGTCTACATGAGCAATGCTTCACTCTTCAGAGGAAAGCGGACTTTGATTTTGGTCCTATTAAATGCTGAATGTGTATGAGTGTCAGTATCTAACAATACACTTCTTATCTGTGTATTTCTATCACTGTCTATCCAGTTCAATCTTTAAATTATTTAAAGGGTTTCAGGGATTTGGAACGAGCTATTCAGCCATGCTGCTGCAGCTAACATGGCTTCTTTCGATAAGTGACTGGATGAAATCCTCGGATTTATTTGATACTAACAACAAAACTAACTAGATGGGGCAAATGGCCTGTTCTTGTTGGTGAAAATCCTTATGTTATTATGTTGTTCTTCGTTTCCCTGTATTTCATTCTAAATCCTCATTCTTACACATATATGGCTTTGGAATGAAATACAGGAGCCTATAAATAAATATTTGAAATAGGATTACATTAGGTAACCAATCTAATTTTTTTCTTCTCTTTTCATCACAGTTCTATCCACATTTAAGCTATACACAATTAAGGCCAATGCAAAACCAATACAATTATTTAGCTATGAAAATTTTAACTGTTTAACTATATTTGTCTCTCAGTCTTTTAATATTCAAATAACAAGCATGCCTCGAATCTCTTTCCCATTTTTGTCCCTGTTTTTGTGCATATACATAACTGGTTTTACCCAAATAATACTTCAGGGAGCTATAGCATGTATTCTGAACAGGTTTTTAGTCAGGAATGCTCAGGACCACATTCACTGGCAAAAAGAAGAAAAACTCCCTGGCATTGTTCCTATTGTTCCTCCTGGAATTATTAAAGAATATGCTTGTTTTAAATTATGGATGAGATTTTCAGATCAGATAAGATCAGAATCCCACGGTCACAAGGACAGAAGCGCTATGAATACTAAGAGCCCCTATACATTTTAATATATTTTTGAATGTGATTATAGAAGACCTTTTTTGCATTAATAGTGAATCATGTTTCCAAGGTGCATAGGGGAGGAATTCATCTTCTATTTAGTCATTTCACCAGCATCTCACCC